ATGGACCAGTGACACGCCTTGACGTGTCCGGGCGTGTCACTGGTTCATGGCGTGTCCAGGCGTGTCACTGGTCCATGGCGTGTCCAGGCGTGTCACTGGTCCATGGCGTGTCCAGGCGTGTCACTGGTCCATGACGTGTCCATGGCGTGTCCAGGCGTGTCACTGGTCCATGACGTGTCCAAGGCGTGTCACTGGTCCATGACGTGTCCATGGCGTGTCCAGGCGTGTCACTGGTCCATGACGTGTCCAAGGCGTGTCACTGGTCCATGGCGTGTCCGGGCGTATCACTGGTCCATGACGTGTCTGGGCATGTCACTGGTCCATGGCATGTCCAGGCGTGTCACTGGTCCATGACGTGTCTATGGCGTGTCCAGGTGTGTCACTGCTCCGTGACGTGTCACTGCTCCGTGACGTGTCCACGGCGTGTCACTGGTCCATGGCGTGTCCAGGCGTGTCACTGGTCCATGACGTGTCTGGGTGTGAGCAGCCTGGACACGCCATGGACCAGTGACACGCCTGGACACGCCACGGACCAATGACACGCCCGGACACGCCATGGACCAGTGACACGCCATGGACCAATGACACGCCTGGACACGCCATGGACCAGTGACACGCCTGGACACACGTCATGGACCAGTGACACGTCATGGACCAGTGACACATCATGGACCAGTGACACGCCATGGACCAGTTACACTTCATGGACCAGTGACACGCCGTAAACACGCCATGGACCAGTGACACGCCTGGACACGTCATGGACCAGTGACACGTCATGGACCAGTGACACGCCATGGACCAGTGACACACCTTAGACCAGTGTCACACCTGGACACGCCTTAGACCAGTGACACACCTGGACACGCCTTAGACCAGTGACACACCTGGTGGGGAAGTGATTAGGAGTGGGCAAAATATATCGGTAGACAATAATTTCGTGAACGCCAATTTGAAGATATGCTTTATTGTATTATCTTTTTTATTTTCCAATACATATTACAATTAGAGAAGGAAAGATGCCCATTGGTCTAATGTGTGCCTAAAAAGCCAATCACTGCTTTATTTGTACATTTCAGTAAATATTGAGCCTTTTTGGATGTGTTTTTTCTGTGTTTCTTGAATCTGATTTTTAATGTTAATATATGTTAGTGCATGTTTTGCAAAGATGTGTGTAGCACTTCAGAAAATAAAAAGCTTCATTTTTGATCTACACTGTCTCTTATCTATAGATTCCATAAGCAAAACATTGCAGATCATTTTGTGTAACCATTTTTTAAAGATATTTGTCGTAAAGATAAAGTATCAGTGACATTATTTTTGTCCCCCGTTATCGCCCACCCCTAGATGTATAAAGTTTGTGTGTGAATTGAAACGTCTCTGTTGGTATAATGTCTGGTAAACCTTTTGAGCTTGATCCTCATTTTCTTTTAGAAAGAATGGAGTGATTGTAGATGTGTACCATCTATTTAAGTGCAGGATAGAGACGGTTGAAGCCAGTTGAAACTAGGAATAACTGGAATTCCAGTGAAGGTATCAAGGGAATACATGACAAAGTTTGGCCAGTAGACTGAAGAATAAGCTCTACACGTGTTTGCAGAGACAATTCAAACTCTTAAAAAAAAGCAATCCTCCATAGATTATTGAAGATTATAATGATGTGCCTCAGTCTCTTGGCCTCAATATCCATGTGTCCTTTCAGAACAGTTATCACACTGTATGTGTGTGTTGACCTGGCCTTACACACCATGTGTCCTATCAGAACAGGTTTTCCACAGTGTATGTGTGTGCGGACCAGGCCTCACAGACCATGTGTCCTTTCAAAACCAGGTTATACACAGTGTATGTGTGTGCGGACCAGGCCTCACAGACCATGTGTCCTTTCAAACCAGGTTATACACAGTTTTTTTTGCGGACCAGGCCTCACAGACCATGTGTCCTTTCAAACCTGGTTATACATAGTGTGTGTGTGTACGAGACTCACTACCTTGTAAACCACACTGTCCTTACGTGTTTTTTGGCAAAACCCCTGAGTGTCCCAGTGCATTTAAATTTTAAGCCGTGTACAGGTTGTGATTTTTTTCAAAGGATTTTCGATTTAGAAAAAGTGTCCTTACAAGGTACAGTCTCAAAGGGATTTTAGAAAAAATGTCCTTACAACGTCTCAAAACGTGTGTGTGTGTGTGTGTGTTGTGTGTGTGTGTGTGTGTGTGTGTGTGTGTGTGTTGTGTGTGTGTGTTTGTTGGCGCAAAGACCTCGTCACACCGTATGAAATAGGGTTTGATTTATTTAGAAATACAGTTTTAATACCATTTTTATATAAGAAGATAACTACTAAAGGTTTCAAAATCAGTTGTTGTTTTTTTTGTCTGATCCCCCCAAATCGAAATAACCCCATAGCAACGCCCTTAGAAACGAAAAATACTTCACAGCCCCTTGGTGACGTCAGAACGGGTACGTTTCAACGCTGTAAGTTGTTTACAATTTGGTATTCGTTCTTTTTTCGCGGATATTCAAGATGACAAGGCCGTGTACAGCGAGTATAAGATAACTACTAGAATGTATCTTTTCGTTGTCACTGGAGATAGTCCAGTGGTTGTGTCGATGGACTGCCAATCCAGATACTTGGGTTCAAATCCCACCTCGGACACTTTTTCTCAAAACGGCAATTTCATGTAATCACACACTATATTTGCAATAGTGTGTTGCCTTCTATACTAAACTCAGCTGTAGACTGAATGAGAAGCAGTTAAGGATTTTTTCTAATAGTTAAAACAAAATCAATTGGATCAGAGCTTCTGAGTTTTGTGTTGCGTTCATTCTATACTGACTTAAACCTAATCCAAATCTACATAATAGCCCTCACCTGAGGCTCTAACAGTTCAGGAACTGCTCTCGATACTTGAAATAAATCATGCTCTGATCTTTCAATTTTCTATAATAAATAAAAACAGAGGAGAAAATATTGAATTAGAATCTACAGTGAGTATCTCACTACATTGTTTGACATATACGATCAATCTCTAAAAACAATTCATAGTCCCATGCATACCTACAAAATTCCAACCTCACCTGATGCACTGAAGGGCCTGTTGCTTCTACCTCAACATTCCCTATATTGTTCTCTCTTGTTGGTTGAGTTTCCTATGTATGTTAACAGAAGATTAATCATCACAATTCATAATTTGCTATTACTTGTGCTTTCTCTTACTTACTTTCCAACTGTTAAAAAAGCTCCTGATATCTTTTATCTTTTTTTGTGGAGGTGGCATTTTTTCTAAATTATATAAGAAGGTATAGAAAATCAAAAACAGACATTCATATACATGGACTGCAGAATCATTTATATAACTTGGCCAATGTCAAAAGTTACATAGTATTTCTCAATACAATGAGTTAACAAGAGTTTGGCAATAAGTAACAGTGTGGATTTTTCTATATTTTCTTTTTTTTATTCCACTCTCAACCCAAAAAGGCAAGTAATGACTCACAGGGCTCTCAAGTATGCAAAATAAAAACTTTAATGACCTGTTGTGGTGTGTTTTGCGCACAACCAGCATGCATCGTTAACGCAATGGAAAATTTACGTATCCGAGCTTTAATTTCGGGAGCGCTGGTTGCGCTTTGGGAAGAGTCAGGGGAGAGACATGTCAGAGACACAGGGGAGAAACGGGGGAGATACGAGGGAGACCCGCACTTGCAACATGGTTCTGTCTGCATATGGTCCGAGCTCGGTACCATGTTAGAGCTGTGCTTTCACTGAGCGCCGCGGCTGTCATTACAAAGCGGCAGCAGCTGCACCAGGACGTGCACATTCGAGTGCATCGCATGAATGTGCTTAGAGCAAATCACAGCAAGTGCCCGCTGTCACACATTTCACAGAAATTACATTATCAGCAGATAAAGGTTGTAAATCGTGGATCCGTGGAATATTTTTATCCCTAGTTTATCCTGATTCACACAACACACCCACTTATACATTTTGGATAGTAAGAGCACAATAAGTATTTTTTCAGCCTTTCACCTGTTTCTTTATTGGAGCCAGTTCTGTTCTGTGTCTGTGCCGTGTGAGCTCCTCGGAACACTAAACAGTGCGCTGACAGATTAGAAATAACGTAAGTACTTTGAATGGTAATAGATCTACAGTACTTTCCTCTGATTACTCACGTGCTACAACGCTCAGGGAACGAAAAAAAACACTTGCTTCACGCTGGCTAACTTTTAAAAATTAAACAGTCGCTCAGTGCTTCAGTTTGGCGCTGAAGAAGACAGCCAATCACTGCAGAGAACGGAACGGGTCACGTGCTGTTGCTGCTGCTGTTGCTCTGGAGGCGAAGAGGAGGCGCGACGTATGCACAAACGGAAGACATGTGTCCCGGACCGTCCGGGTCACGGGACATCATGTCATTTTGGTGGGGACTATTTAGTCCTCACCAAATATTGGTGGGGACATGTCCCCATGGTCCCCACGCAAACCTACGCCCTTGCACCAAAGGCGCAACTTTGTCCAGAATAACTGCACAGGTCGAGTTAAATGCCTCTGTAAGCTCCTCTGCATTCACTGTACTGGACGGAGCAGTGAGCGGGGAAGGTACAGACGACAGAAACGCTGCAGAGAAATCATCCACTGACAGTGGCGTGAACACGTGTCGTGGGCGCACGGGGATAACGCCGCAGTCTTATGTTAAAAATAACGGGGAGAGTGTCCGAAATATGCATATCACAGATGCGCTCAATGTTCACTTCAATTCCCAGAGAAAGGACAAGATCAAGTGAATGTCCTTTTTCATGCGTGGGACCACAAACCCATTGCGTGAGGTTAAAAGAGTCAATAGTATTTAAAAAGTCCTTCACAAGTGGCTTGGTGTCGCCGCAGCAAACGTGAATATTAAAATCAACCCACGATTAAAAGCTGGTCTGTGTGAGTGACTATCTCCGCCAGGAAATCGGAGAATTCCTGAATAAAACTCTTATTAAATTTTGGAGGGCGGTAGATTATTGCGCAAAGTGTCAGTGGGTTCGTCTGGATTTTTAAAAGTTGTAGTTTGAAACTGGAGAACACATTGGAGGGAAATAGACAGCAGATAAAATAAGATTTAAAAACTGATGCAAGTCCTCCACCTCTTCCAGTAGTGCGCGGTGAATTTAAATATGAACAGCCAGGAGGAAGAAGTTCAGAGAAGGCTGAGCACTCACCCGCTTGAATCCACGTCTCCACGAGGAACAAATAATCCAGGTTGCTCGTGACAAAGAAGTCATTAAGCAGAAAAGTTTTGTTTGAGATGGACCGGGTGTTCAGCAGCGCCATGCGGAGTGCAGTGTGCCCAGGGCGTGGGGCCTGAGCTCGGGCGAGTTTGCGGATGTTCCCCCAGTCCACACCGCGCTTGGCTACTCTCCGCCTGGAACGGTATCAAAGAGCCGGGCAGACCGGGTCACCAGCTGCACTGCATCCATCCACTGCTGGCATCCATCTCGCTTTCTCAACTAGAGCTATAGTTCTCCGAGACTTCAGGTGAGCTCTTACTCGGACAAGGACGCCGCCTCGCTTGCGCCTTTTCCTAGGGCGTTTCCTCTTCGGGATGGCACGGGGCAGCCTGCGCAGCTCCTCCGGGATGGCCCAGCGCAGAGGGGGAGGAATGTGTGCTGAGCCATGCTGGTCCAAACTGTGTTTAGTCAGTACCTCATAAGATTTCTGAATGTTTAAAAGTGTATGGCGATCATAAACAAACAGAGCTGTGGCATTTTGGCACCAATCCAACAATAAAACAATTAAAAACAGGCCAAACAGAGCAGAGAGACGTTGCGCCATGCACACTGCTGGCGCCATCATAATCATGATGTGACTATTCAGACGACTTGTGGCAGGATCTAGATGTGGGAGTTGGCAGACGGACGGCAAATGTGACAGCGGCCTCCATCATTGAGGTCCAGGGGGAGGAACCATCACAGACCTGAGGATCCGTGACCAATGGGGACCAGAGACACACACATCCAAACCTTTTCCAGCTTCATAGTAATTCTTATGTACCAGCTTCATCTGTACCATGTGAGCGTTTATTCTCTAAAGCTGGGGAAATAGTGTCCAACAAACTAAATAGACTCAATGGCAAAACTTTGGCTTGTTTTTTTGAATAAAAATATATGAAACACTCAATGACATTTTGATTAATAAAACATTCACAAATATCACTTTAATGTTCACATACAAAGTCAAACAATACCACAGGCAGTGACGTCATACTGAGTAAAGGTCATTGAATCAGTCAGATGGATGCAGTGATGTGTAAGATCCACCAGGTGTCAGTGTGGAGCAGCACGGCACTGTTGGGCACAGTGTCAACACTTTGCCCCGCCCCCTATCGTCATGTCCCCGCCACCTGGACACCTGGCCCCGCCCCTGGAAATGTGGCCCCGCCCCCTATCGTCATGGTGACACAGTTAATGTTTCCTTGAGGAAGTGCGACACAAACATGAAGCTTCAGGGAAAGATCGAGCTGCTGCACCTGTGTGCGTCTGCTCTACACTGTGTGTGTGCGGTAAGTTAGAGATGTGTGCGTCTGCTCTACACTGTGTGTGTGCGGTAAGTTAGAGATGTGTGCGTCTGCTCTACACTGTGTGTGTGCGGTAAGTTAGAGATGTGTGTGTGCGGTAAGTTAGAGATGTGTGCGTCTGCTCTGCACTGTGTGTGTGCGGTAAGTTAGAGATGTGTGCGTCTGCTCTACACTGTGTGTGCGGTAAGTTAGAGATGTGTGCGTCTGCTCTGCACTGTGTGTGTGCGGTAAGTTAGAGATGTGTGTGTGCGGTAAGTTAGAGCTCAGGTCTAACTTTACACTCAAAGTTACAGACCTGAGCTTTAAAGTCACAGACCTGAGCTTTAAAGTCACAGACCTGAGCTTTAAAGTTACAGACCTGAGCTTTAAAGTTACAGACCTGAGCTTTATGGTGTTCTCAGGTCGTGGGCGTCAGTGTCGCGGCCTGTGGACTCTGGGTTCTGTTTGACTCCAGCTTCATCCGCATCATCTCCACAGGTACAAGACCAGACCGACCCAGACCAACCCGGACCGACCCAGACTATCACTCTCGCTTCAGCAAGAAGGTCCTGGGTTTGAATCCCGGTCGGAACAAGGACTTCAGACTGGAGTTTGCATGTTTTCCCTGTGTCTGCGTAGGTTTCCTCCGGGTGCTTCAGTTTTTCTACAACTACAAACACAGCTCCATCTCTGTGAGAGACAAATGTAACAATTGTAGAGCGCTTTGTCACTCTGGTCTGTGACGTTTTCTCTCCTGGTCTCAGATTCAGATTCATTTTATTAGCCATGTGCAGTATAAAAACTACATACTACTCTGTTTGCACCGACAGAAAAAGAGCACGATACACTGTCATATAAAATACACAAACACTGGAAATAAAAGAATAAAAAATAAAAAACAGCTGACACTGATCCACAAAAACGATACAAGAGGTAAAAGCAGGAATTAAAGTGCTCGGTTTAGGCACTGTTGTGGTTTGACAAAATTAGACTCCAAACGCGGATTCAAGTAGTAACATGTAAATATAATAAAACAAAAATCACTGGAGAACAAAAATAAAGTCCAAAACAAGCTCCAGGAATGCACTGGGAAAGCAGGTCCTCCACCTGAGGAAAATACAAAAACCACGTTAAACAAGTCCAAAAAACAGTCTGTCAAAAGTCTCACAAAATTCGTTGATTCACCGCAGTCAAGGGACGAACTGGCTCTGGCTGAGTGGATTTCCAGCAAACAAATACTCTCCCCGATTGGCCTGATGAGACACAGGTGGGCCCTCCTGCAATGGGGGAGGAGACTCACAGACACACAAGGGGAGGGGAGGGAGAGACAGGAGGAGCACCAAAAACTGCCCTCATGACAGACACCTAACAGCTTGTGGATAAAAACTGTTAGCGTAACGAGATGTCCTGCATCTCAGAGAGCGATATCTTCTGCCAGAGGGAAGAAGCTGGAACAAGGCTTTCCCAGGGTGGCCAGAAGAGTCATTAACAATCCTAAGAGCTTTGTTTAAAAGTCTGGATTTATAAAGAACCTCCAGAACAGGAAGCCCACGGTTCTCTCTCTGGTCTCTCTCTCTGGTCTCTCTTTCTGGTCTCTTTCTGGTCTCTCTCTCTGGTCTCTCTCTGGTCTCCCTCTGGTCTCTCTCTGGTCTCTCTCTGGTCTCTCTCTCTGGTCTCTCTCTCTGGTCTCTCTCTGGTCTCTCTCTGGTCTCTCTCTCTGGTCTCTCTCTGGTCTCTCTCTGGTCTCTCTCTGGTCTCTCTCTGGTCTCTCTCTCTGGTCTCTCTCTGGTCTCTCTCTGGTCTCTCTCTCTGGTCTCTCTCTCTGGTCTCTCTCTCTGGTCTCTCTCTGGTTTATCTCTGGTCTCTCTCTGGTTTCTCTCTCTGGTCTCTCTCTGGTCTCTCTCTGGTCTCTCTCTGGTCTCTCTCTGGTTTCTCTCTCTGGTCTCTCTCTCTGGTCTCTCTCTCTGGTCTCCCTCTGGTCTCTCTCTGGTCTCTCTCTGGTCTCACAGCCCACGGTCCTCTTTGCAGAGCGGAGCACCTTGTTTAAAGCTCTCTTTTCTTTATCTGTGATGTTTCCAAACCACACAGACACAGAACCAACAAGTAAACTCTCAATGGTGCAGCGATAAAAGCTAAGCACAATCTTAGAGTTAGTGGTAAATTCTCTAAGTTTACGCAAAAAACTCAATCCTGGTCCTAGTCCTGGTCTCAGTCCTAGTCCTGGTCCTGGTCTTGGTCCTGGTCTTGGTCCTGGTCATGGTCCTGGTCATGGTCCTGGTCATGGTCTCAGTCCTAGTCCTGGTCCTGGTCCTGGTCTTGATCCTGGTCTTGGTCCTGGTCATGGTCCTGGTCTTGGTCTTGGTCCTGGTCCTGGTCTCAGTCCTGGTCTCGGTCCTGGTCTCGGTCCTGGTCTTGGTCCTGGTCTCAGTCCTTGTCCTGGTCTCGGTCCTGGTCCTGGTCTCGGTCCTGGTCTCTCACCTCTCTCTCTCCTGCTGCAGCTCGTGGGGGTCCTGCTCTTCTCGGTGGGACTCGCCGTGGTCTGTGTCACGGTTGTGGGATGTGTGGGCTCTCAGAGAGGCAGCCGTATCCTGCTGCTGCTGGTGAGGAGTGGAGCTGCAAGCGGGGATGAACGGCCCTTACCCGGCGTCATCATTTCATCTTCACATGTGGAAACGTTATCGACATACTATCAACTGTCACTGTTACTATAACAGTAGTGCTAACAATAATGCTAACAGTCATGCTAACAATAATGCTAACAGTCATGCTAACAATAATGCTAGCAGTCATGCTAACAATAATGCTAACAGTCATGCTAACAGTAATGCTAACAATAATGCTAAGAGTCATGCTAACATTAGTGCTAACAGTAATACTAACAGTAATGCTAACAATAATGCTAACAGTCATGCTAACATTAGTGCTAACAGTAATGCTAACATTAGTGCTAACAGTAATGCTAACAGTCATGCTAACATCAGTGCTAACAGTAATGCTAACAGTCATGCTAACAGTAATGCTAATAATAGTGCTAAAAGTAATGCTAACAGTCATGCTAACAGTGGTGCTAACGGTAGTGTCACTCCCGGATTCGTCCGGAAGTTCAGTTGTGCATGTCAAAAAGTGTAATAAGTCCTTAAGTGGAGACTGGTTAAGGTTAAGGTGGTCTGAGTAAGATGGTTAAGGTTAGAGTTAAGGTGGTCTGAGTAAGATGGTTAAGGTTAGAGTTAAGGTGGTCTGAGTAAGATGGTTAAAGGAGCAATATGTAATATTTGCATGTCAAGTCATCATTAAATGACCCGAATATTTCAAAAGGCATTAATAAATCATGTTCTTTTCAAACACATCTTTAACTGATAACAGTAGTTCATCCGAGATATTTGAGTATCAAAATTAGTTTTACGACCCGTTAAAGTTGTTATTGTTTTGATTTTGATGTCCTGCCCTCCGCCGTTTCGCCAATCAGGAAGTGTCATGTAAGTCCGTGATCGGGTTGCCAGAGCTCCGTGCGGCTCATTAATCTCAGTGGTAAAATAACATGTGGCGCAGAACTAAAAAAGGTCTTGTTATGACTCTCAAATCATTAATGACAAAACAAAGACTAAAACGAGGATTTATATTGGGACGCCTTTGAACAATTGAGACAGCTGATAAAAGTTTATGTGTGATGCAGAATTTGCTAGTTTGAGTCCGTTCTTCACAGTGACTCTAACTGTGTGAAGTCTAGTGGTCTAGACTGTGCGCTTACGATGCACCCGGGCTCGATTCCGGGCTATGTCTTTTTGTATTTATTGCATGTTATCACATTCTATGACAGATTGCTCTAAAAACGGTAAAAGAGGAAGGTCAAGACGTTTTTTTGAAGATTATAGCTTAATTGTAAAAATAATCATTTAAGACCACATGTACCCCAATTAAAATAATGTTAGTCTCTTTTTGATGTGGGACTTTTACATGTTTGTCTAAAAAATAGGGAATAAATAAAATTGAAAGGTGATATCCTCTTGAGCAAACCCTGATGTTGATACGCTGAAGAAATACGTTCCAACATCCATTCTTCCCACTCCTATTTTGGACATCAATTGCTTATGTATTTTGCATAAACTATGTATAATTACATTGCTTTTATTTTGTTTTTGTTTTTTATCTCAAATGTCCAAATAATAATAATAAAAAAACATGAATCAAAACATTCATTCAGCATTAGCATGGCTGTCATGGCAATGTGAATGGAGACGGACAACAACTGATAAAATAATTCCCTGTGTTTGCTGCTGGATTTGGTGTGAATCTGGCAACCTGAGTCAGGGAGAGTGGGAGAGGACTACAAAATATTGACTGTGACTGCAGTACCACTTTTGGCCAGATTTTTACATATTGTTCCTTTAAGGTTAGGGTTAAGGTGGTCTGAGTAAGAGTAAGATGGTTAAGGTTAGGCATGAATAGGTAGTTTGTTATATTTACTTCCGCTTCCGTCCAGATTCCGTGACGTAATCTACTGCTGCGTATGCTCATTGGATCAAACTGAACTTCCGGACGAATCCGGTTTCCGGGACGAATAAGGGAGTGACAAGTAGTGCCAACAGTAGTGCTAACAGTAGTGCTAACAGTAGTGCCAGTGGGAGAGGGTCCCAGCTCAAAAGTGGCCAAAATGACGTGCGCTGACATGCTGCAATACCACCCTGGGCCTGTGGGGGTGGACCCAGAAGAAGAATTAGCCAATGCTAACATATAGCATTGGCAGACCTCTCAAAAACGTCTTTACAGGATGGACCAAAAGTTGGCTCTTGGCCCAAAGCTCCGTTCCACATGTGTGTCAATGCTGAGGGGGGTGGATTTTTTTTGGTCCACTCTAGTTTACTTGCTGTGAATTTTTGAAGTCTCTCGTTCAAATGAATGGAGTTGCGCCGGCTGACGCATGCGCAGATGCGTTTTTTCACTATTTTCTTGTGGGAGGGACCACTCGCGGCCATTTTGGATTGCTCCAGTAGAGCACATTTTTTGGCCCATTAGTTAGAACGGCGGAGATAGGCGTGACTCTGTCCGTTAATATATACAGTCTATGAGTAGTGCCAACAGTTATGCTAACAGTAGTGCCAACAGTCGTGCTAACAGTCGTGCTAACAGTCATGCTAACAGTAGTGCCAACAGTGGTGCTAACAGTCATGCTAACAGTAGTGCTAACAGTAATGCTAACAGTCATGCTAACGCTGTCATGCTAACGCTGTCATGCTAACACTGTGTTCTGCAGGAGCTGCTGGTCCTGGTTCTTCTTCTGCTGTCACTGATCTTTATCACTTTAATAATTCTACTGAAGAGAGACCAGGTACACAAACACACACACACGTTTTTGTTACCTGGTGGGTCCCTTTGACAGGGCCGTTCAGAATGGGACCCATAGACGTAATCTTTTTTTACTGGGACTACTTTAAGTAATACAAAACAGTCAATAGAAAACAAACAACTCTTTTAAAGGAATTTTATTTTTGATTTTTTTTTCGAATTGCAGTGATTCTATTTTTGACATAGAATTTAATGCCACTCCATGTCTGATGTCTAAGGTCATCTGGTGAGGCATTAATGCAAGCCAGGCCAGGCCAGGCCAGGCAGTGAGACTTCCCAGGGACTTTTCCAGTCTGTATGAAAGGCGTCATGGTCTTCTCCACAGCCTTCACCTCAGATGCAGACCATGGCTTTCTCTAACGTTCTAGGGAGAGAAATAAAAATATATTAGCAATATACACTCCCAGGGTTAGGACCAAGCAGCCTGGCTGTAATCCCCCACCTGGTACACTTACCAGAAGGGGCACTGCCACTACCATGGGGTGCATCTGGATGAATGGTTGAAGGTTCTCCGCTTGAAGTTTCTTTTAGCCCGTCTGTTTGTGAGAGGATCTCTACTGCTCTCCCTGTCGCACAGAAAATAAAAATACAAGTGGCCTTTAGGGGAAAAAATTATACATATTTTAATAAGATCAAGAATTACCTTGAGGCTCAATTTGTATCTGGTCGAGGCTCTTTCCTTTGAATTCCGTCACTCTTCCCTGCTCCATGGTCATTAACAGTAGTCTGTAATATTGTCTGTGGATGTGAATGTCATGGCCGAGGAAGTTGGCAAGTATGTCCATCTCATTCTTTTTCATATTGAGAACTGTAGACATAGTAGCTATGTGCTTTCTAAGTTTGGTTGAGGATAGCATCTCTGGATGCACCGCACCACAATCTTTGTCTACCTGCCGTAGGGAGTCTGATCCCCTGATGTGGGTGTCTGCGCCCGGGCGGGAGAAGAAGTATGGGTTATGGTCAGAGATGGAACAGGCCCTTCTGTTCTCCACCAGCACCTCCATCGAAGCAATCATTTCAGGAGTCAAAAGAACCACCACTTTCCGACTTCTTTTCCCTTTAATTTCAATGCGTTGAAAATGCTGACACAGCTTTTTCTCAAGTTCGGACAGTCCCAGAGCAATGTCAGAATGGATCCCAGTCTTACTTCTTAAGGTAAACGCTGTCAGTGGCATCTTTGAAACCTCACCTTCCCTTCTTCGATTGAAAATAATGACCTCACAAAGAGTCAAAACTGCCAGTTTAGACCAATGCTTAGACGTTGGCTCACTTATACATAGTTCCCACAGACCAATGAATGTCACATGACCTCCTCGGAGACGCCATCTTTGATGGCACGCTGCTGTGTTTGTGCATTCCATTAAACAGAAGAATGAGAATAAATGTAGATATTCAAACGCAAATTGGAAAAAAAAGGGCAACTTTTGAGCAAATAATTGTATATTAATACAATGGCACCACAGTTTAACGTGCTACGGACATGTTTTACATATTTGATCAAATTATGCAGCAAAAATTAACAAGCAATGCAAACATTTCTCAAAAACTTTAGATTTAATACCAGTTGGAGCTCCATTTAATTATTTTAATTATATTAACAATTAATTTAATTAATGCTAATGCCACACGGACACTCTGGATTGCTGTTATTGTTTATTTCCGCGTTTTTGACCGTATGTTTTGGTGAATGGTGGGCAACTGATTTTTCCAGGCGTAAAGAGCAGTTTATTTTATGACACAGATCTTTTTACAGAAGCAATGCTGTTTGTGAACATTGTTTTAGCCCACCATAGAACTATTATTATCTATTTAATACATTTACGTTGCCCTCGAGAGCCTCGGACGCGACACCGATCCTCCTCATAATAAAGTAATCTAAATAATGAAACTCTCAAGTTACCAGATATCAGCATACACAAGTTAGTACTGAGTAAATTACGTCTGTCAACACATTATAAGATACGATACGCACCTGACACAAAGTGCTCCGAGCATATTCTTGCGTGTTTTGAGGGAGTTTCTTGCCTGTTTATCTTCGCAAGCCATAACCTCCGTCGTTGTTCTGACAAAAGCTTAGTCTTCTCACATTCATGAAGTCTAATGATGGGTATACTGTAAAATCCAAGTTTAACGGAACCTCCGGCACGATTTGAACATCCATTGACCCAGCAGGAGATGACCATTTTCAACTTTATCACGACATTAACACGTTTCAGCTTCTTTTTCTATTGTTTTGCCCACAGCATGCCAATACAAATGGCGCCGGGTCGGCAAATCCCCGTATGTAGTGACGTCATGTGGGAACTATGTATTAGGGTTTGCACATATTCAGGTCGACGTACCTCAATATGTGCATGCATGGCTCTAACGTCCTCAGTCAGAGGGAGCAGGTCCGGAGTGTTCCACTTGGCTTGCCGGAGGGTCTGTAGGGCAGCAGAAGAAACACAGACGTCCCACCTCTTCTCAAAAAGCAGCCGGCTTCGTTGGAGGTTTTTGATAAATAGTTCATCAACACAATGCTCCATTTTTGAGTCACATTCAAGAATATCTGCTAGCTTTCTGAGGCTATGGCCGAGTTTGAGGGCCAAGGATGGAGTCTTGTATCGATTTGTTTCCTCATCATATCCAGCCACAGACCTGACTGCATCAATCACATGGTTAAAGTTGGAAGGAATAAAGAAATCCTTGTTTTCAGTTTCCCTGCGGTTTTTGCTTCGTTAATTAACCTACCGACTTCTCATTTTCTGCCTAATGTAATCATGCTTAGTCTTATCATGCCCGTGTTTTAAGTACAGGTGCTCTCCGAGTCTCAGAATCCCCTTTTCTGCTTTGACAACACCCGTGACCTCATCCTGATGCATTGCAGAAATTAAAGACCACAGCTTTTTGCTGATGCCCTCCGGTACAGGCTGGGCTAGGGAGCAGAGGGACTGGACCCTACTTCTACCTGGTTTAGCCTGGGCATCTTTCTGTGAAAGCCGGCACCTGGCCACATGCCTCCACAGCGACTTTCGCTTAAGCAATGCCCCACAGTCTATACAGTGCAAAAACTCACTGGATTTAACTGGGGAATTTGGCTGTTTAGCTGGGACTAAAGTTCCAATGCCGGCCTTTAAAACCTCAACATTGTGCTCACGGTTTCCACTATTCCTGATCAAATCAAACTGAAGTTTACGTGCTTTAGATTTCACAAGTACAGCCAATGCTCTGGCTACGTCACTTTCATTTCCATGTTTTCTAGTCAAATGACGGGACATTTTGTGGCAGGACATTGAACAGTAGATGTAAACTCTCCCCCCATTTTTCTTCTTTTGCAGCTGCATGATAACAATCTTATTTGCCTTTGGTTCGTCACTTTCCGAGTCTTGAAGAAAAGTGTTTTTGATTTTTCTTATACCATACTTTTTTACAGGTTTCTTCTTGACAGTTAAATCGTCAGAATCTGAGTCGACTTCATCAATTAGGGACTCTTGACTAAGCTGCACAAACAACAAATAATTTGTAATAATTCTATATAACAATTTGAAGTCATGACTTGTAGTCAGCACTTACCAGTGGTTTGTAAGCGTGCGCTTCAGTGTGCTGCTCTGTGATTGGCTGCAGCCTAATGAACCACACACTTGCACCTTTTCAAGCCTGACACCTGACTTCCTCTGTTGTGCTGCTCCATGATTGGCTCCAGCCTCTGTTGTGCTGCTCCATGATTGGCTCCAGCCTGCTGGACTGAAATTGCCCCAGTGTGCCCCTCCTTGATATCCCGCAACCCACCACCAGGGTTCCGACACATAACACACTTTTTTCAGGAAAGTAAACCTCCAGGGGTCCTTTCCATATTTTTACAGAGACTGCATAAGGACCGTTAGAAAAGCATTACCCATTGATTATTAAGCTTGGACCAGTGGGGTCCGGTGTTCGGGCCCCACCACGTAAAACCAGTCCCCATGACGTGAGTGGAATCTCAGGTTATGGAACCCACCAGGAGTTGAAAACAAGTGCACACACACACACACACACACATACACACACACACAAACACACACACAGAGAGACACACACACACACACAGAGACACACAGACACACACACAGAGACACACACACAGAGAGACACACAGACACACACACACACACACACACTCTCTCTCTTGTGTTGCAGATCTCTCAGACTCTCTCTGATAACGTTGACTCCATCATCAAGGATTTTCCAAAGAGAGAGCGCCACTTGCTGGACAACATGCAGCACCAGGTCAGACCAGGACCAGGACCAGGACCAGGACCAGGCCTCAGAGACCAAGACTGAAGCTGGACCTCTCTCTCTTTCTCCAGGTGCAGTGCTGTGGGAGATTGGGGCCCTCTGATTGGCTGAGTAACCAGTTTGTGATCAGTTTAAACCAATCAGCAGTCTCCGTGTTGCCGTGTTCCTGCTTCCTGTCTGGCGCTCACAGCTCCGCCCCCTTCTGCAGCTCCAACCAATCACTGAGCTCCGAGGAGATTCCCTACCGACCAGCCAACTCCTCCTTCCACAAGGTCTGAATTGGGTTTTAAGCAGGTCTGAGGTCTAGATCAGGTCTGGATCAGGACTAGATCAAGGCCTGGATCAGGTCTGGATCAGGTCTGGATCCTAATGCTTTGTGATGTCACAGGGCTGTGAGGTGGCGCTCCGTGATTGGCTGGAACAGAACGTTCAGACAATCGTGGGTCTGGACCTGGGACTGGGGATTCTGCAGGTACGAGGTTCTCCTCCTGGTCCTCACTCTGCTCCTCCTCACTCAGGTTCTCCTCCTGGTCCTCACTCGGTTCTCCTCTCTCAGGTTCTCCTCCTGGTCCTCACTCTGCTCCTCCTCACTCAGGTTCTCCTCCTGGTCCTCACTCGGTTCTCCTCTCTCAGGTTCTCCTCCTGGTCCTCACTCTGCTCCTCCTCTCTCAGGTTCTCCTCCTGGTCCTCACTCTGCTCCTCCTCTCTCAGGTACTCCTCCTGGTCCTCACTCTGCTCCTCCTCTCTCAGGTGCTCCTCCTGGTCCTCACTCTGCTCCTCCTCTCTCAGGGACTCCTCCTGGTCGTGGTGGCCTCCCTCTATCGCAGTTTTGGGGCCAGAGCATCAGTGAGGTCTGAACTGGACCAAACTGGGTCAGACCTAGTCCACAACGATGAAGACCTGCTGTACCAGGACCTGGACCAGGACCAGGACCAGGACCAGGGAGTTTACGAAAGGCCCTAAAGCCTAGCGTACATCGACAGAGAAACTGGGGACAACTAGTTGCAAGGCGGCTTTTGGCAACTGAGAGGAGATGGTGGGAGATGATCAGTTGCCGAAATCGGTCGATGTGCGCGCTCTTACAACTGGAGATGATCAGTCGGTCTCCAGTTCCAGTCAGTTGCCCGTGTTCTACTTTTCGGCAACTAGTTGTCCTCAGTTGCCCCGATGTGCGCGCTCCATGCGCCGCTCCAACAACGTGTGTGTATTGCGTGTATTGCGAGCCCGCAACAGTTTGTTGTCAGAAAACACACTGTAGTTGAGGCCAGTTGCTGTCGATGTACGCGCTGTTATTCAAGAGACTGGCCTGCGACTCAGAGTTGCCCGTTTTCGCCAGATTGTCGATGTGTGCGGGGCAGCAACTCAGAGGCGACGGATATAATCAGTTGCCAGTCCGATGTACGCTAGGCTTAAGGAGGAGACTATGAAAACTATTAATAAAGTGTTTCTAACTAAATTTAAATGAGATTTCTCTACATACACACAAGAGACCAGAGAGAGACCAGAGAGAGACCAGAGAGAGAGACCAGAAAGAGACCAGAGAGAGAGAGACCAGAGAGAGAGACCAGAAAGAGAGACCAGAGAGAGAGACCAGAGAGAGAGACCAGAGAGAGAGACCAGAGAGAGACCAGAGAGGGACCAGGGAGAGACCAGGGAGAGACCAGAGAGAGACCAGGGAGAGACCAGAGAGAGACCAGAGAGAGAGACCAGAGAGAGACCAGAGAGAGAGACCAGAGAGGGACCAGAGAGGGACCAGAGAGGGACCAGGGAGAGACCAGAGAGAAACCAGAGAGAGACCAGAGAGAGAGACCAGAGAGAGAGACCAGAGAGGGACCAGAGAGGGACCAGAGAGAGACCAGAGCCTCCATCAAGACAGTGACCTGAACCTAAACACCAGGACCAGGACCAGTACTATCAAAGGCCTGACTCTAAATATTAATGTTGATGAAATCAGTAAGTGTAAGGTCCGTACGTCTCAGAGATACCATCACTGAATCACCAGTTACTCATTAAACCAGGGTCAGACCTGTGTGCACCTGTTTTAGTCCTGCTTTACTCCTGCTTAGTCCCAGTTCTGGTCTGGACTTGGATCTACCATGAAGTGTGTTATCCTTCTGCTAATGTTGAGCTCTGGAGCCTGGACTCTGCCAACAAGAACAGGTACAAACTATCTCTGGTCCCTCTCTGGTCTCTCTCTCTGGTCCCTCTCTGGTCCCTCTCTCTCTGGTCTCTCTCTCTGGTCTCTCTCTGGTCTCTCTCTCTCTGGTCCCTCTCTGGTCCCTCTCTGGTCTCTCTCTGGTCTCTCTCTCTGGTCTCTCTCTCTGGTCTCTCTCTCTCTGGTCCCTCTCTGGTCCCTCTCTGGTCCCTCTCTCTGGTCCCTCTCTGGTCCCTCTCTCTGGTCCCTCTCTGGTCCCTCTCTCTGGTCCCTCTCTCTGGTCCCTCTCTCTGGTCCCTCTCTCTGGTCCCTCTCTCTGGTCCCTCTCTGGTCTCTCTCTGGTCTCTCTCTCTGGTCTCTCTCTCTGGTCTCTCTCTCTCTGGTCCCTCTCTCTGGTCCCTCTCTCTGGTCCCTCTCTCTGGTCCCTCTCTCTGGTCCCTCTCTCTGGTCCGTCTCTCTGGTCTGTCTCTCCGGTCTGTCTCTCCGGTCTTTCTCTCCGGTCTTTCTCTCCGGTCTCTCTCTCTGGTCCTTCTCTGGTCCTTCTCTGGTCCCTCTCTGGTCTCCCTCTGGTCCCTCTCTGGTCCCTCTCTCTCTGGTCTCTCTCTCTGGTCTCTCTCTCTCTGGTCCCTCTCTGGTCTCTCTCTCTCTGGTCCCTCTCTGGTCCCTCTCTGGTCCCTCTCTCTGGTCCCTCTCTCTGGTCCCTCTCTCTGGTCCCTCTCTCTGGTCCCTCTCTCTGGTCCCTCTCTCTGGTCCCCCTCTCTGGTCCCCCTCTCTGGTCCCTCTCTGGTCTCTCTCTCTCTCTGGTCTCTCTCTCTGGTCTCTCTCTCTGGTCTCTCTCTGGTCTCTCTCCCTGGTCTAACCCAGTCTGGTCTCAGTCGTCAGGAACAAGCTGCTGCTGATCTCGTTTGATGGTTTCCGTTGGGACTATGACCAGGACGTGGAGACACCAGAACTGGACCAGATCAGCACCGACGGCGTCAAAGCAAAGTACATCACACCCCCTATGCTAACGATGACATCACCGTCACACTTCACCACCATCACTGGTAAGAGACCAGAAAGAGACCAGAGTGAGACCAGAGTGAGACCAGAGAAAGACCAGAGTGAGACCAGAGAGAGACCAGAGAGAGACCAGAGTGAGACCAGAGAGAGACCAGAGTGAGACCAGAGTGAGACCAGAGAGAGACCAGAGTGAGACCAGAGTGAGACCAGAGAGAGACCAGAGAGAGACCAGAGTGAGACCAGAGAGAGACCAGAGAGAGACCAGAGAGAGACCAGAGTGAGACCAGAGTGAGACCAGAGTGAGACCAGAGTGAGACCAGAGTGAGACCAGAGTGAGACCAGAGAGAGACCAGAGTGAGACCAGAGAGAGACCAGAGAGAGACCAGAGAGAGACCAGAGAGAGACCAGAGTGAGACAAGAGTGAGACAAGAGCGACACCAGAGTGACACCAGAGTGACACCAGAGAGAGACCAGAGAGAGACCAGAAAGAAACCAGAGTGAGACCAGAGAGAGACCAGAGAGAGACCAGCTGATGCTTGTTCTCCCTGTGCAGGTCGCTGGGTGGAGGGCCATGAAGTCGTCCACAACATGATGTTTGACCAGAAAACAAACCTGAAAGTTCCGCACAAACAGACGCTGAGACGATCAGAGTGGTGGGACACCGGAGCCACGCCCCTTTGGATCACAGCCCAGGACCAGGTGAGACCCCGCCCCTTTGGATCACAGCCCAGGACCAGGTGAGACCCTGGTGTGTGTCTGTCACTAAGGGGCGTGGCTCTGTCACGTATCTCAGTCACTAAGGGGCGTGGCTCTGTCACTAAGGGGCGAGTCTCTGTCACTAAGGGGCGTGTCTCAGTCACTAAGGGGCGTGTCTCAGTCACTAAGGGGCGTGTCTCAGTCACTAAGGGGCGTGTCTCAGTCACTAAGGGGCGTGTCTCAGTCACTAAGGGGCGTGTCTCAGTCACTAAGGGGCGTGTCTCAGTCACTAAGGGGCGTGGCTCTGTCACTAAGACGCATCATGCATCTCTCCTTTTGTGTTAATGCTTAACTGTACACTGTCCCTGTTCAAATAAAGTACATACAATACAATACTAAGGGGCGTTTCTCAGTCACTAAGGGGCGTGTCTCTGTCACTAAGGGGCGTGTCTCTGTCACAGGGCCTGGCGGTTGGCTCGTTCCACTTCCCGGGGGGCGGAGCCAACTACAGCGGTCAGGTGGTACAGCGTCATGTGTTTGAAGAGGCTGGTTTCCCTGACGACAATGAGACAGAGTGGCGTTTGAACGTGGACACGGTGCTGGACTGGCTTCACCGTGACGACCTGGACCTGGTCACGCTGTACTTTGGCGAGCCCGATAACGTGGGGCACGCCGTGGGGCCGGAGACGCCGCAGCGGCGCGCCATTGTGCGGCAGATCGACCGCACCCTGGGGTATCTGCGGGAGGGCATCCGGGCGCGGGGCCTGGAGTCACGCCTTAACGTCATCCTGACCTCCGACCACGGCATGACCACGGTGAAGAAGAGGCCGGAGGTGGACGAGGTCATCCTCAACCACTACCTGCCGCTGCTGCGTCTGGCCAGCTTCGAGATCCTGGACTACGGCGGCTTCGGGATCTTGACGCCGCGCCCCGGACGAGAGGCCGAGGTCATGGTGGCGCTCGCCAACGTCCCCAACGTGACGGCGTACCGCACCAGAGACCTCCCACCGAGCTTCCACCTCGCCAAGAGCTCACGCCTGCCCCCAGTGGTCATCCAGGCCGACCTGGGCTTCAACCTGAACTCGGTGAGAACACACGTCACTGTGGTCACTGTGGTCTCTATGGTCACTGTGGTCACTGTGGTCACTGTGGTCTCTATGGTCACTGTGGTCACTGGCATGAGTTACCATAGTCACAGGCACCAGAGTGACCACAGGTACCACAGTGACCACAGGTACCACCAGCTCCAGCTTAGATCTCAGCCTCTGTGAATTTGCATGTTCCCCTCATGCCCTCTGACCTCTGACCCCAGCGCTTCATAGTGTACGTGAACAAAGGGGACCATGGGTACCACAGTGGAGAGATGGACATGAAGACCATCTTCAGAGCATTCGGACCAGACTTCAGACAGAACCATGTGTCAGAACCTTTCGACAGCATCCACCTGTATCCTTTGATGTGTCGCCTGCTGCGGATCTCACCTGGTCCTCACGATGGTTCTGAGGAGGTGACCAGGGGCCTGCTGAGAGGTAACAGGACCAGGAACGGGACCGGGACCAGGACTAGGGCTAGGACTAGGACCAGGACCAGGACCAGGACTGAGATCAGGACCAGGACCAGATGGAGCGGTCCTCACGTGTGTCTCTGTTGCAGACTCGTCCTCGCTGCTCCGGGCGTCTCTTCTTCTTCTTCTGTTGTCTGTGATGTCATCGGCTCTGATCTGACTTTGAACTGAATAAAAACTGTTTCAATGTAACTGTAGCTTCTGTCTGAGGTCTAAAGCAGGTCTAAAGCAGGTCTAAAGCAAGCCTAAACCAGGTCTAAACCAGGTCTAAAGCAAGCCTAAACCAGGTCTAAACCAGGTCTAAAGCAGGTCTAAAGCAGGTCTAAACCAGGTCTAAAGCAGGCCTAAAGCAGGCCTAAAGCAGGTCAAAGCAGGACTAAAGCAGGTCTAAAGCAGTACTAAAGCAGGACTAAAGCAGGACTAAAGCAGGACTAAAGCAGGACTAAAGCAGGACTAAAGCAGTACTAAAGCAGGACTAAAGCAGGACTAAAGCAGGACTAAAGCAGGTCTAAAGCAGGACTAAAGCAGGTGTACAAAAGGCTCCTTCGTTTGAGTGTTCTATAATTTAGTTTGTTGCGTACGGTTCCTGGAGTGTCCACTTGAGGGCGCACCTACCCTTTACCTGGTACAGACGACGCCGAGAGGGAAAACACCCTTTTTGCTTTCTACAACTCTACGGGTCAGATGTGGTCTGTTGCTGTGCTCCTAAGTGTGCGTTTGTGACTGAAGTAAGTTCCCAAGGCCCACTGTGATTGTTGTAAACCAGTGTAGAAGCATTTTGAGTTAATTACATGAGTAGTTTTATATAGATTTCCTTGTTGGCTGTGTAGCTGCATAGAGCTAACTAAGCTAATCGTAGTGTGCAGTTTGGGGTAGTGTGGGATATATGTGTCTATTTTGTATCTTTAAGTTTATGTAACCCTTTACATTGTGTTGTATTGAGGAGCACTTTGTAATTGAGTATTTTCTTTTCTGTTTAATTTGCAGATACCACACTCTCACAGCCAGACAAATGTTCAATACAAAGACCTATCATCAACCCGTCTTGTCATTGTCTCCTTTCTGAATATCATGGTGGCTCAAGTAGTGTTCTGGCCGACATTCCAGGATAGTAACCGCTTCAACACAAACTTGTACCTTTATACAGTCCTTGTAGTCCACCACATGAGTTATCTACCCTACATTGATGGTCCTTCGAGCCGGACGAAGCAGTTTCTGTTCGTGTAAGATGGATGATATTCAGAGCTTCATTCCACTTGGTGCACTCCCCAAGCGCACGGCACGTCGACCCCTCCGTTATGAAGAGTATGAAACCGATTTTCCTGATACTGAAGTGCACAACCCACATGGAGGGACACTGTCACCACTAGGCAACGCTGCCTACTCTCCCCTACCCCATATGCATTATGAGGAGTTCCCACAAGAGCAGATATGGAGGAGCTGCAACGGGAGAGATATTTTGCCCAGCAGGCACATGAGAGGATGAGAGCGGGACTGGCTGACTTCCAGGCCATTCATACGAGTATGCAGCAACTGCGAAACCGGGCTGAGAATCTGCAGCTCACCACCCCACCTCACCAACCACCCTATACTGTTATTGATGAAGAGGAGGACTGGCCTCCACCCCCCCTTGGTTGGCTGAGTTTAAAGAAGAACCTGTCTCTAACCCGAATCCCCTCATAAACCGACTAGACATAATGATGAACGAGCTTCAGAGCCTGAAGAGGGAATCATTGGCGGCCCAGGAGAGTCAAACATTCCCCCTCTATAATCCCCAGCCAGTGCATACTACCATGGCCCAGCCAAAGATCACGCCTCCTCCCATGCCACCTCTTAGAGTACCTGCCCGGCCAGAGCAACGTCCTCCACCACCTTCTGATCCTTCATGGTGGACACCACCGGCCCAAAGACCTTTAAAACAGGTAGCAGCGCCTGAGATGACCTACAGGGGTCCTCGCCCAAGCATTCCCAAGCTCATAAACCGGGATCCTGGGGAATTCGCTCGCCTGAAGATGGCGCTGGAGAACCTACTGCCCCTAGACAGTACAGAGCTATTTAAATACCAAGTCTTGTTAGATCACTTATACCTAGAGGAGGCTGAGTTAATCGCTGATGCTTACCTGCATTCCACCACACCTTTCAGTGACACCATGGCTGCTCTCAATGATAAGCTTGGCCAACCACACCAGCTTGCCCTGAGAAGGATCGCAGCTGTGATGGACTCACCTGACATTCGCAAAGGAGACGTGGTTGCGTTTGAGAAATTTTCCCTCCAAATCCAGTCACTCGTGGGCATGTTGAAGACCTTAGGTCCAGACGGTGAAGTTGAACTCCAGTGTGGCTCCCATGTGGCACGGCTCCTGAGCAAGCTCCCTCCAGAGCAGAGAGCTGACTTTCGCCGGTGCGTGTACAATCGCTCTGGTCAGACTTACACCCTCAATGACCTCACACGAAACCAAGTAAGCGCCCTACCACAGTGTTTCACACCACAGACAATGCACCCCATTCCTCTGACAACAACCTTAACCAACCGAAGCAGCAACCGTACTGCGCCTTCTGCGAGAATCGTGCTCACCACCTGAGTCAATGCCCTGAAATCATCAAGCTAAGCCAAGAGCAACTGACTGACTGGATAAAGACCAACAGGAGATGCTGGCGCTGCGCCCGAGCACATCAGGCCGCTCAGTGCAGTGTTGCCAACTCCTCAGTAAGGAAAGTAGCTATTGGCTGTCCCAAAAGTCGCTAGAAGTCGCTAAATGACGTCATCGCCTAATTTGCATAATTTGCAATTTGCAAATAACTGTAACGGACGCTGTAGGAGAGAGGAATAAGGTCGTGGGAGAGACAAAAGTGAGTAAAAACACCCTAAATATGTTTAGAACTACAAATGTACAAAAATAATTTCAACATTAACAACATTTAATGATTTTAATGCTTTGTCTAGATCCACATTACACACATCAGTTTTGTCCTGTATTGTTAAATGTTATAACAGCAAATGTAATCAAAAGATTGTTATGTAGGGTGAAATTGCTAGCTCTACAACCAACCCTCCTCCTTTATCCGGGCTTGGGACCGGCAAAGTGACCCAAAAGACACACTCTGGCAGAGTTACTTAGGTTTATTTTTGTAAGTTTTTTTTTTTTTTCATAGTTTGGCATAACAAATGATTTAATGTGACCCACTACTGAGAGAAAACAGAGTCACGGACAGAGCTGCCGCGGATGGAGTGGGGGGTAGTGGGGGGTAGTGGGGGGGGGCGGTGGTAGGAGTGGCCGGGGAGCTTTGGATGTGTGGTGGTGGTGGTGGAGCTGAAGTTCAGTCTGCAGCAGCCTGAAAACTTCCTGTGCTTTTGAGTCTCCTCTCTCTCTCTCTGCTCCGCCCATAGACTGTAGCTGGGACTGCTGCGCAAGGCTACTGTGAGACTGGCCGCCTGTAAGTGCTTTGGGACGGGGGAGGGGCTCACGTTGAGGACAGCAGAACAATACGTGCTTCACGAGTCTCCAAAACACCAGATAAGTCGCCAATAACACCAGAAAAAGTCGCTAGATTTGTCGCTAGTCGCTTTTTTGAAAAAAAGTCGCTATAGGGGTCTGAAAAGTCGCTAAATCTAGCGACAAAGTCGCTAAGTTGGCAACACTGGCTCAGTGTACCCTCAAGAAACCCTGCAACCTCTGCCAGGGTCGACATCTACAGGTCCTTCATAAAGTAAACACTGCCCCGAAGACGCCTGCCCCTGAAAACGTCCCTGCTCTAGAGGCTGGGAATACAACTGGTGTCCTGTACCTCGACCGTGCTACAGAGAGCGGCCGCGTCTTGTTGAAGGTAGTTCCCGTCACCCTCCACCATAATGGTAAGACTCTGAGTACTCATGCAGTTTTGGACGATGGCTCGGAGAGAACCATGCTGCTTCCCGCTGCTGCCCATAGGTTAGACATTCCTGGCACCCCAGAGACACTCTCCCTACGCACAATAAGACAAGATGTGCAGACGCTACATGGCTCGGGTGTTTCCTTTTACATCTCTCCTGAGGGCAAACCCAAGCTGAAGTACCGGGTCAACAATGCCTTTACAGCAAACCATATCGACCTAGCCGAGCACAGTTACCCAATAGTCTCTCCAGCGGAAGTACAAACACCTCCGAGGGCTGCCCCTCCGGTCCTTCAGGAAGGTCAAACCACTCCTACTCATTGGTAGTGACCACCCACAGCTCATCACGCCTACCGAAGTAGTGCGTCTCGGACCACCGGGTGGCCCCGCAGCCCTGTGCACCAGGTTAGGTTGGACATTACAGGGCCCCTCTAGCCTCATCTGCTCTTCCTCCCCACCACAGCAGTGCCTCTTCACCACCAGTGTTGCTCCTCAGGTGAGTGAATTACTGAAACACGTAGAGAAGCTATGGCAAGCAGATGTTATACCAGTAAAGTCAGGAAAGGTAGTTACACGCTCAAGAGAAGATAACTACGCTGTCAGCCTGCTCGAGCTAAAGACAGTCCGTGTTGAGGTAGATGACATACATAGGTACGCTACTCCTCTACTACGTCGTCAGAGCATGCCCCTTCTTAAGGCAACCCCTAATGCCGTCATACCTAGTTTGAGAAGCATCGAGAGGAGGCTCCAGAAAAACCCAGAGCAAGCTCGGGTCTACTCTGCAGAGATAGATAAGTTGGTACAAGTCGGGTCTGTAGTTAAGTTGTCCCCTTCTGAAGTCACCCAAGCAGATGAGTCGTGGTATATCCCGCACCACCTTGTTAGCCACAATGGCAAGCATCGCCTTGTGTTTAACTGTTCGTTCCAGTTTCAGGGCCGAACTCTCAATGAACATCTCTTACCTGGCCCAACCTTAGGGGCGTCCTTACTAGGTGTCCTCCTCCGCTTTCGAGAGCATGCCGTGGCAGTTAGTGGTGACATAAAGGGCATGTTCCACCAGATTCGCCTGCTTCCCGAGGACCGCTCTCTCCTGCGCTTTGTGTGGCGGGACTTGCACCCAGAGGAACCGGTCTCGGTGTTTGAATGGCAGGTTCTACCCTTTGGTACAACTTGTAGACCCTGTTGTGCAATTTTCGCACTGCAAAGCCACACGAAGGCTCACACACAAGCTGATGATCTGCTCCGTCACTCTGTAGAACAGTGTTTTTATGTTGATAACCTTCTCCAGAGTGTTCCGTCCCCTGAAGAAGCTTGTGCTCTAGTTGACAAACTTAGAGCCCTTTTGTCTCCTGCTGGCTTTGTCCTTCGTCAGTGGGCCAGTAACGAGCCCAGCACCATTAGCCACCTTCCAGAAGACCTTAGATCTGAGAGTGCTGAACTCTGGCTCGCCCACGATAAAGCAGACACCTCTGAGCCGACCCTGGGACTTAGTTGGCACTTTCCCACCGACATCTTAGGCTACAAACACCGGCCTGTGAGTTACGGTAGCCCAACCATGCGGAACATTTACAAAGTTCTCGCCAGCCAGTATGACCCACTAGGCTTCATCTTACCCTACACCACCCGGGCCAAAATGCTGGTGAGGCGCCTCTGGGAACAACAGAGAGGCTGGGATGACCCTCAGCTACTACCAGATCTCTTACAAGTGTGGAGAACGTGGGAAGATGAGCTGGAGTTCCTTCCGCAAATTCAGCTCCCCCGGCCTTACCTACCAAAGCACATCAATATGCCTGTACGAGAGAGAGAGATTCACATCTTTTGTGATGCATCCGAACAGGCCTATGGAGCTGTAGCCTACATACGAACCGTAACCAGTGATGGCACCATTCATCTAGCATTCTTAATGGCTCGTTCAAGAGTTGCCCCTAAACGTTTGCTCTCCATGCCTAGACTCGAGCTGTGCGGTGCCTTTGTGGGAGCCCATCTTTCTAGTCTCATTGCGAATGAGCTCACGCTAGACATCAAGACAACAGTGTTGTGGTCAGACTCCACTACAGTACTTACCTGGCTGAGATCTGAGTCTTGCCGCTTCAAGATTTTCGTTGGGACCCGCATAGCTGAGATTCAGGAGCTGACCACATCCCACACCTGGCGTTATGTTGAGTCATCTCAGAATCCTGCTGATGATATAACCCGAGGGAAGTCACTTTTGGAACTTAAAAAACCTAACAGGTGGGGCCAAGGACCCCCTTTCCTACTCCTACCTTCAGAACAATGGCCCTCAGAGCCAAGTAGCATTGTGGCTGGGCCTCCTGACTCAATCGAGCTCCGCAAAGAGACCTTCTGTGCAGTCACTGTCACCACGGATTCTGCCAGCAACAATGAATACAACACCTGGTTGCAATTATTGGAGTCAACCATCCCACTGTTGCAGGGGGCGGCCACTCAAGATGGACTGCCATCAGCTGATGATTACCTGCATGCGGAGATCTTTGTATTGAGACGGGCTCAGAAGGAAAGCTTCCCGGAGGAGTACCGGCTCCTCAAGTCCAGTAAACCCATCAGCCGTAGCAGTCGCCTCATTGCCCTCTCGCCTGAATTTGACCAGGAGAGTCAAGTCATTCGGGTAGGTGGGCGTCTTCGTCGCTCTGAAGATCTTGCCTACTCTAACGTCCATCCTTTAGTCCTGGATCCAGTACACCCTATCACCCGGCTACTTATTCAGGACTTTGACAGACGTCTACGCCACCCAGGGCCAGAGAGGGTTTTCGCTGAGATCCGGCGTGCATATTGGATCCTGAGAGGCCGAGAAGCAATTCGCAACTTCCAAAGAACTTGTCCTGAGTGCTGCCGTTGGAGATCCCGACCAACCGTTCCCAAGATGGCTGACCTGCCAGCGGCTCGCCTGCGCCTTTACAAACCCGTCTTTTATTCGACAGGAATGGGTTGCTTCGGGCCCTTTGAAGTTAAAATAGGGCGGCGAGTAGAAAAGAGGTGGGGCATAATCTTTAAATGCCTTACCACCCGAGCAGTTCACCTTGATGTCCTAACTTCCCTTGACACTGACTCCTTCCTCATGGCACTCCGAGGTTTCATTGCCAGGAGAGGAAGTCCTGCTGAGCTGTATTCTGATCAAGGTACTAACTTCCGTGGTGGGGAGGGTGAACTCCGTGCTGCTTTTGAGTCTATGACCTCCGATCTGCAGAAGTTTCTGGCGCCGAGGAAGATACTCTTCCGCTTCAATCTGCCAGCTGCTCCTCACTTCGGCGGAGCGTGGGAGCGGGAGATTCGATCAGTCAAGACTGCGCTCTTCACTACAGTTGGAGCCCAATCCGTGCCTGAAGAAGTTCTGCGCACAGTCTTAGTGGAGGTAGAGGGCATCCTTAACTCCAAACCGTTGGGGTATGTCCCTTCTGATGTCAGCGACCCTGATCCCGTGACCCCGAATTGCCTTTTGATGGGGCGGCCCGACGGATCACTGCCACAAGTGGTGTATCCAAAGGAAGAGCTCCTGAGTCGCCGGAGGTGGAAACACTCCCAGGTGTTGGCAGACCACTTCTGGTCTCGTTTCATCAGATTGTACCTTCCTGGCCTCCAGTCCCGGCAGAAGTGGCAGTCGTCTTCTACAGACATTGCCACGGGCTCTGTGGCGATGATTGTGGATCCTCAGTTGCCACGTGCTTCCTGGCTCATTGGACGCATCTCCAAGGTCCACCCCAGTCCAGATGGGCTCATCAGGTCTGCTGACGTTAAGGTAAAGGACAGGACACTTACACGCCCTGTAGCGAGGCTGGTAATCCTGCCAGCCCTTCCAGAAGAAGACCATGGACAATCGCCGTAAGTTCTTTTTGTATTAGCCTTTTGTTCATCAAATGTACTTCATACATTTGGGGGCGGCTGTACAAAAGGCTCCTTCATTTGAGTGTTCTATAATTTAGTTTGTTGCGTACGGTTCCTGGAGTGTCCACTTGAGGGCGCACCTACCCTTTACCTGGTACAGACGACGCCGAGAGGGAAAACACCCTTTTTGCTTTCTACAACTCTACGGGTCAGATGTGGTCTGTTGCTGTGCTCCTAAGTGTGCGTTTGTGACTGAAGTAAGTTCCCAAGGCCCACTGTGATTGTTGTAAACCAGTGTAGAAGCATTTTGAGTTAATTACATGAGTAGTTTTATATAGATTTCCTTGTTGCCTGTGTAGCTGCATAGAGCTAACTAAGCTAATCGTAGTGTGCAGTTTGGGGTAGTGTGGGATATATGTGCCTATTTTGTATCTTTAAGTTTATGTAACCCTTTACATTGTGTTGTATTGAGGAGCACTTTGTAATTGAGTATTTTCTTTTCTGTTTAATTTGCAGATACCACACTCTCACAGCCAGACAAATGTTCAATACAAAGACCTATCATCAACCCGTCTTGTCATTGTCTCCTTTCTGAATATCATGGTGGCTCAAGTAGTGTTCTGGCCGACATTCCAGGATAGTAACCGCTTCAACACAAAGCAGAACTAAAGCAGGACTAAAGCAGAACTAAAGCAGACTTCCCACTCCGCTGTTCTCCTTCTTCCTTCTTATACACAGAGGAACAAACAGCACAAACCTACTTCCCGCACTGTGCAGTGCTGGTCTGAGGAGGCTAACATGAAGCTGCAGGGCTGCTTTGATGCCACAGACTGGTCTGTTTTTTACTCTGAGAATGTTGATGAATTCTGTGAGGCTGTGACAGGATACATACAATTTTGCATTGACTGTTGTGTCCCCTATAAAGTAATCAAAGAACACTCCGGCCAAAAACCTTGGATGAACACTGACGTAAAATTGAGAATTAATGAGCGGACACTGGCGTTTCAATCCGGTGATGAGGGTGCTTACAAGCTGTCCTGCTACGCTGTGGAACGCTCTATAAAAGCTGCTAAGCGTTCCAATGGGGACAGGATAGAGGGCTTCTTTGGCGAAGAGGACCTTCCCTGGTCAGACTTCCCAAAAGCAGGTCTGAGACTGGACCTGTAAGCTGCCTTCACGTTACTATAACAGTGATCCAGGATGTGAGCTCCCCTGGTAGGCTGACTCACATGCTGATAAAAGTTCGGTAATACAGACTTTAAGTTACATTTGTTAAAATCACCACCAACTATAATCACAGCATTGGGGTGAGCAGCTTCATGTTTATGCAAAATGTCACTTAAGTCATTCAGTGCAGCTGTACAGTCAGCCCGAGGATGAATATATACAGCACATAAGAAAATCACTGAGAATTCTCGGGGAAGATAGAACGGGCGGCATCTCAAAACCAGACACTCCAGGTTAGCAGAGCATATTTTGTTTACAATACAACTGTCAGTGCACCAGCGCTGGTTAATTAAAAGACACACACCTCCGCCTTTCGATTTCCCCGTGCTCTCCTTCTCTCTGTCCGAGCGGAAAATGGCGAATCCCGGCGGCTGAACAGCTGAGTCCGGGATATTCGGATGCAGCCACGTCTCGCTGAGGCAGTACACTGCGCAGTCCCAAGCCTCGCGCTGGTACTGGATTCGGCTCAGGAGATCATCCGACTTGTTCGGGAGAGACTGAACGTTCGCAAGGTAAATGGGTGGCAGTGGGACCCTGGGGGCGCGACTCCGCACGAGAAGCCCGCCACGCTTTCCCCGGTGTCTGCGCTTCCTCCGTCGGCGAGAGACACCCGGCTCCGCACGGTGGTGAACACGGGGGAGGTGCCCGGCCTCATCGCCCTGTTCCCCGTCTCTGTCGCGGTCCGCACGCCGCTCTCCTCGAGCTGGGCACTCGTCAAAGCCATCACACCTCAGAGCAGGCAACACTGGCTCACAGGCCAAGTCCCGTATGTCCATAAGAGTCTGTCGATCGTAGACCACAGTGGCAAGTGTTTTGTGAAAATATAAAAACAGCATAAAAATCACGGTGCACAACGGAGCTCTTGCAGCGGCGCCCTGGCACGGCGCCATCTTGACAATCCAGCAGTACAGAAGAGGTGATGCTGTAAACTAAAGCAGTGTAAACTAAAGCCAATATGTCCAAATTATACTGGAACTGGACCCTCCGTTCACCGTTATCCGGAGTTGACCACGTCAGTACAAGGTTCCACCGTGAGGCCCAAGTCCTTCAACAATCCTTCCAAGCGTTTAAGTCCATCCAAAGATCTCACTCCCAGATCATTAAGGGAATGTTCGTTCCGACTCACCCCCCGTTGTGTCCCCACTGTGCCCTCGACCACGACTCTGACCAACTCGTGGAAACTCTCCTTGTTTTCCGCGGACAGCCGCTCGTAAATCTTCTGAGTGGACAGCCCTCCAACTTTGCGGTAGATCAAGCCAACTCCAAATCCAATCAGGAGGAACCCTGCTACCATAAATCCAAAAATGTATATACTAGAGCTGCAACTAACGATTATTTTGTAAATCGATTAATCTATCGATTATTTTTACGATTAATCGAGTAATCGCTTGGCTGTGAATTGTGTAGAAAAAAAAAAAAATTTCATCACAAAAAGCTAAAGTGGCAACACTCGAGGACGTATTGATGGCGTAAACTTAAAGTAAATGTTTGTAACAGGCTCTTTGTGCTAATTCTGCTATCTGATTGGATGAGACAGACAGATATTCATGAAATTATAAAAACAAAGTTGGTTTTAATCAAAAATACGACATTTTCTTGTCATTTTTGCTCTGTTTGAGCCCGTGTGAACCAGAAAACGATTAAGCGATTACTAAAATAGTTGTCGACTATTTCAATAATCGATTAGTCGTCGATTAATCGATTAGTTGTTTCAGCCCTAGTATATACTGTATCCTCAATGTCCTCGATGGACAGTCCCGACAGACAAACGTGGGTGCCACTTTTGCCAGTTGTCAAAAATGTACCCAGCAGCCGCCGTACCGTCCGGACAAACGGCATCTCCAGAACCGCCTTTACGTGATGAAGAAATAGCATCAAATGCGTTGAGGGACCAGTTGATTAGTTCCAACATTTTTCAAGTTGTACACAGGCAGAGCACTAGGAAAAAGACAGTCAGGGCAAGAGCAGGAGCAGGCAAGAGACACGTCTGACCTGGTACTGACCCGGTTCTGTCCTGGTCCTGACCTGGTTCTGTCCTGGTTCTGTCCTGGTCCTGTCCTGGTCCTGACCCGGTTCTGAGCAGACGTTCCCAAAGTGGCGTTTTCTGCGTCGCTCGGAGACGGACTCCAGAAAACCACCTCCGGAAACAAAGTCCTGATCTACAGAGACGTCATGACCAATGAGGGGTGGAGCTACAACCCACAGACAGGTAATGACTCCTCCCCCTCCCGCTGACTCCTCCCCCTCTCCTTGCCTCCTGCTGACTCCTCCCCCTCTCCTAGCCTCCCGCTGACTACTCCCCCTCTCCTAACCCTCCCACTGACTCCTCCCCCTCTCCTAGCCTCCCACTGAGTCCTTCCCCTTCCCGCTGACTCCTCCCCCTCCCACTGACTCCTCCTAGTGACTCATCCCCCTCCCACTGACTCCTCCTAGTGACTCATCCCCCTCCCACTGACTCCTCCTAGTGACTCATCCCCCTCCCACTGACTCCTCCCTCTACCCTTGAGAGGGAGGAACTGTAGATCCAGGACTGAGGCTGTCTCTCCCCCCTCTCCCCCGCAGGTGTCTTCACGGCCCCGGTGCGTGGCGTGTACCTCGTCATGTTCACGGCGAACGCTCCCACAGACTTCCCGCTGAGCGCCGTCCTGTACCGGAACAACATCCACGTGGAACTCATCGCTCACGAGCAGCAGTCAGGAGCAGGAAGTGACACGGCCTCCAACAGCGCCTTCCTGGTGCTGGACCAGGGAGACACGCTCCACATGGTCCTCTGGCACAACACACAGATCTGGGACAACAGCAACCATCACAGCACCTTCAGTGGAGCCCTGCTGTTCCCACTGTGAGGACCAGTAAGAGGGACCAGAGGGAGACCAGAGAGAGACCAGAGAGAGAGACCAGAGGGAGAGACCAGAGAGAGAGCAGAGACAGCCGAGAGAGACCAGAGAGAGACCAGAGGGAGAGACCAGAGACAGACCAGAGAGAGACCAAGAGAGACCAGAGAGAGAGACCAGAGGGAGACCAGAGAGAGACCAGAGGGAGAGACCAGAGAGAGAGCAGAGACAGCCGAGAGAGACCAGAGAGAGACCAGAGGGAGAGACCAGAGACAGACCAGAGAGAGAGACCAGAGGGAGAGACCAGAGAGAGAGCAGAGTCAGACCAGAAAGAGACCAGAGGGAGACCAGAGAGAGAGAGACCAGAGGGAGAGACCAGAGATAGACCAGTTGGAGAGACCAGAGGAAGACTAGAGAGAGACCAGAGGGATCAGAGAGAGGACTGAGCCTTTGCCTTTGTGTTGCAGGGACCAGAACGTGACTCTGAGCTGAAGGGTCTGACCCTGCTGCAGTTCTCCCTGTGGCCAGAGGGGGCGCTCTGACATAATAAAGTGAAACTGAAACTGAGTCGTGTTTCTGTCTCTACATGGTCCACAGGTGGTTTAGTGTTCTCATAAGAACTGACCAATCACAGGCCTTCATGAGCCTTAGCTGCCATCGTCCCAAAGCATCATGGGAAACATGCAGGAAGTGAATTTAATCGTTTATCTTTAGAGACACGTTTTATTAAACATCAAACAATATATATTTATAACATTACAGACGAGACCAATGTGTACAAGATCCGGACCACACCGAGACCACAGGGTCCAGGACCAGGACCACACCGAGACCCCAGGGTCCAGGACCAGTCTCTCCCTCAGTTCTTCTTCTTGACCACATGTCCGCAGTCGTACTTGCCCCGAACCACAGTGAGGCGGACCCCCGGCAGGTCCTGGGTCTTCCCCCCCTGGAGCAGGACTACATTGTGCTCCTGTAGCGTGTGCCCCTCCCCCGGGATGAAGGCCACGCCCTCTTTCCCGTTGGACAGACGCACACGCGCACACTTGCGGTTGGCAGAGTTGGGTTTCTTGGGTTTACGGATGATGGTCTTCAAGACCACGGCTTTGAGCTGCGGCCGCCCGAACGTGGCGCCCAGCGAGGGGGGCGGGGCCTTGGGCTTTCCTGCACGATGCATCTGGTTCAAGGTCGCCATGGTGACGCGGGAGACCAGGGAGAGGGAGGGGCCATGGTGGGGAACTGAGGAGAAATAGGAGAGGCATCAATAACATGTTTAAAGCTCAGGTCTGTAACTTTAGTCTAAATGACACATGTTTAAAGCTCAGGTCTGTAACTTTAGTCTAAATGACACATGTTTAAAGCTCAGGTCTGTAACTTTAGTCTAAATGACACATGTTTAAAGCTCAGGTCTGTAACTTTAGTCTAAATAACACATGTTTAAAGCTCAGGTCTGTAACTTTAGTCTAAATAACACATGTTTAAAGCTCAGGTCTGTAACTTTAGTCTAAATGACACATGTTTAAAGCTCAGGTCTGTAACTTTAGTCTAAATAACACATGTTTAAAGCTCAGGTCTGTAACTTTAGTCTGAATAACACATGTTTAAAGCTCAGGTCTGTAACTTTAGTCACAATAATATGAAACACAGACCTGAGAGCAGAGTGGAGCACAGCGGCCTCAGCAGCGACAGCATCCTGAGAGAGAGAAAAGGTTAGCTCCTTTAAAGCTGGGGTCTGTCACTTTAAAGCTGGGGTCTGTGACTTTAAAGGGGACATATCATGAAAAATCCACTTTTTGTGTCTTAAATGCCTGATGTTGTGTAGTTGGAGCCTCTAGAAGTGCAAAAAAGTTGAAATCAGTCTCTTCATGGGTTGCAGAGAACACTTCATATTCTGTTTAGGTAAGATTTTTCAACCCGTTCTGATTTTGCCATTCTCTATTACGTCCAGTTGGACGTAATAGAGAATGCCGCTCCACCGTGTTGTGGCTCAGCGCGCAGCCTCAACGTGGCCATGTACCCAACCCCATAAACGCGCACAGGACCATGCGTGTCTTTGAGTAATCTGTGAACCCAATAAATACACTGCTGCAGGAAACAGTGCGCGTCTCCCCTCTCCTCTCGAAGCGCGATTAAACGCCCTAAATAAAGCTCTGATACCTACATTTAGCATTGCATTAAAAGTTCATGTTTGAGCCCAAAAGTAAAATGTTGTGAACAAATTAAACAGATTTAGAGCCAGCAAATGGCTGACAATATGCATTTCAGTCTTTTTTGACCAATTCTCATCCCTGTAACAAACAATAGTGTTGTCTGTGTCCACCTCCTTCACTCTGAGACATGTTCATTACCCTCTTGTAATGTAGACTATTGCATTTTATTTTATTGTTGAAACTGCACATATCCTGATCCTCTACAGTATTTGCTTCCACATACTGTATAAACTAGGAGTCGGTAACCTGCGGCTCCGGAGGCGCATGCGTCTTTTTCCTTCTGTAGAAGGAAAAACGTTCTTAACGTTTTTCAATGCTGTAAAATTATGCATAAGTAATAATCAATTTAAACATTTCTGTCAACGTAGTGCGTCTTATCCTGCGACGTAGGCCCGCGCCAGGCGGCCGCTGTTGTAAAACAACCGGCGTGTGAGCATTATAGAATGTGCGCTTGGATCCCAAAGCTAAAAAGAGAAGAGTCGATAATAAGTTTGGACTAAGAATGAAAATTAACATTTGCTTTCAGTCAATGAGGAAGGCCTGCTTCATGTTTGCGATGTAATGAGAAGTTTCTATGAGATAATTGTATCTGTGCTTAGTAACTACAAAAATGGCCGCTCGGGGTGGAGTTGAACCTGTGTCACCTGGATGGGGGCGTGGTCAAAAGCACCTCATTTGCATTTAAAGAGATAGCACCAAAACAGGTTGCTCTCAGACGCACCTCAGAACAGGTGTAGAAGAAAGGCCCGTGGAGCTACAAATAATGAGACTCAGACCCAGGCATTGCAGTTACGCTTTATATAGGCCACAAATTAATGATTTAGATGTAAAAATCTATTACCACTTTAAAGCTGGGGTCTGTGACTTTAAAGCTGGGGTCTGTGACTTTAAAGCTGGGGACCTGCAGATACTGACTCACAGGGACCTGCAGATACTGACTCACAGGGACCTGTAGATACCGACTCACAGGGACCTGCAGATACTGACTCACAGGGACCTACAGATACTGACTCACAGGGACCTGTAGATACCGACTCACAGGGACCTGCAGATACCGACTCACAGGGACCTGCAGATACAGACTCACAGGGACCTGTAGATACTGACTCACAGGGACCTGCAGATACAGACTCACAGGGACCTGTAGATACTGACTCACAGGGACCTGCAGATATTCCATAGATAATCTGATGATATTGAAGACAAACTTCATGTTCATCATGAGACTAAAGTTACAGCCTCAGCTTTAAACTAAACAAATCAACTCATGAATGAGCAGAGAAGTTACATAGAGCAGCTTTAACAGCTAGAGACCTGTGCAAAGACCCGTTAGCTCGATGCTAAAGCTAACACACATACACAGTCCCGTTAGCTCGATGCTAAAGCTAACACACATACACAGTCCCGTTAGCTCGATGCTAAAGCTAACACACATACACAGTCCCGTTAGCTCGATGCTAAAGCTAACACACAAACTGCAGCACTCCTGACCTGTGCCGTGTGCGGGGGAGGCAGCGGGGGACGCGGGGTAACCTCCAAACACCGCAGAAGAGGCAGAATGTGACGTGAAGAGCAGAGGACAGAGAGGACTTCTTCTGTTGGAGGAATCTACAACTACTGCCACCTACTGTGTGCAGTGCATACTACACTACGACTAGTCTCTCTCTGGTCTCTCTCTGGTCTCTCTCAGCTTTCTCTGGTGTCTCTCTGATCTCTTTCTGGTCTCTCTCTGGTGTCTCTCTGATCTATTTCTGGTGTGAGATTTCATAAGGTCAAGGTCAAGGTCAAGTTTATTTATATAGCACATTTTAAAACAGACAGGACTGTCACAAAGTGCTTACCAGACATTGTAAAAATACAACACACAAATAACATTCAGCATAAAATAAAATGCAGGACACTATCATAAATGTTTCAACATTGCTTGTGTTAAAAAGCCAAAGCAAAGAAATGTGTCTTTAGCTGCGATTTAAAACTCTCTACAGAGCAGCTCTGATGGAGTAAGGGAGAGCGTTCCAGAGTTTAGGCCCTGCCACAGCAAAGGCTCGGTCTCCTCTGGTTTTTAATCTAGACCTGGGACAGTGCAGAAGAAGCTGGTCAGAGGACCTCAGTGCTCTTCCCGGGGTGTGCAAAGTAAGCAAGTCAGTCAGATATGACGGAGCCAGGTTATGCAGAGATTTAAATACTAACAATAACATTTTAAACTTAATTCTAAAAGCGACAGGAAGCCAATGTAGAGACGACAGCACAGGAGTGATGTGCTCGTGTCGTCTGGTGCCAGTCAGCATCCGAGCTGCTGCATTCTGTACCAGCTGCAGTCTGTGGACTGAGGACTGGGCAAGGCCATAGTATAAAGAGTTACAATAGTCCAGCCGTGTGGATATGAGGGCGTGGACAACCTTCTCAAGGTCATTTGGTGGAAGATAGCCTTTAACTTTGGTCAACAGTCTCAGCTGGAAGAAGCTGGCTTTGACAACTGAACTTATTTGTTTGTCCATTTTAAAAGCACCATCAAAATACACACCAAGGTGTGTATTTTGGCTCATAACACTTTTAAGCAACTTTTGTTGAAGTTAAACTCATCATTCTATCAATGTGCAGAAGCCAGTACTTTTCCCTTGTTTTGTCTATCTGAAGGCCAAGCTACATGGCACTGTGGCAGCTGCTGATTGGAGGTCTCCATGCCAACGCTCTGTATAATACACTTGCATTCTGTTGTTCGTGTTGTTCGTGCTGTCTCTACCATCGACAATAAAACATGTCTTCTGTCTGAATTAAAGACACGATCCTAGACTTGGCTCATCTTCTTCACTGGTCTCTCTGGTGTCTCTCTGTTCGCTTTCTGGTCTCTCTCTGGTCTCTCTCTGGTCTCTCTCTGGTATCTCTCTGGTATCTCTCTGGTATCTCTCTGGTCTCTCTCTCTGGTATCTCTCTGGTATCTCTCTGGTATCTCTCTGGTATCTCTCTGGTATCTCTCTGGTATCTCTCTGGTCTTGCTGGTCTCTCTCTGGTCTCTCTCTGGTCTCTCTCTGGTCTTGCTGGTCTCTCTCTGGTCTTGCTGGTCTCTCTCTGGTCTATGTACTGAAAGGAAAGAGAGGATGTGGAAAAGTCATCTTTATTTATTTAGCGCCTTCACAGACTGGTTTCCACAGTGATGCGACCGGCACCAGGAGAACCCACAGAGACACCAGGAGAACATGCAAACTCCACATAGTGTGCAGGTGCAGGGGGGAGGGGCTGGTCCTCATTCAGATTCTTTTCCATCCACAGTAAAACCACAGAAAGGTCTTTGTTCAGACGGAGAACAGCTGAAAGAAGCTGTTAGCATGTTAGCATATCCAGATGTCCTGCAGACAACCTTATCTTCTGCCAAAGGGAAGAAGCTGGAACATGGCTTTTCCAGGAGTAGAGTCAATGATTATTCTAAGATCTAGATTTAAGTCTCAAAAAGAACCTCCAGAACAAGAAGCTATGCCCCTAATGCAGGGAGGCGGAGCTAGAGCTGGCGCTGACTCCGCCCACTGCAGGTAAGTATGAGTGATGGAGGATGGGCAGAACACGCCCACTAGCCGGGACACGCCCACTAGCCGGGACGCGGCCACTCAAACTGGGAAATAAGGCCCTCTCCACATGGAACAGTCCCGGGTCTTCGTCCCTTTTTTGGGGCCTCTCTTGGGGCCTTTCCTGAGGTCTCTCCTGAGGCTTCTCTTGGGGCCTCTCTTGGGAGCTCCTGTGGGGCCTCCCGTAGTTGCTCTCCAGGTGGAACAGCTCTCTCCGAAGGCGGTCAATCTCCATCTCGAGCCTCAGACATCGGGTTTTCAGCTCACGGTTCGTCCTCTTCTCCTCCTCATCATCCTCAGCCGCTTCCGACCCATCTGAGAAGAACTACAAACATGGAGGGTGTGATGATAGAACTATAAACATGGAGGATGTGATGATAGAACTACAAACATGGAGGATGTGATGATAGAACTATAAACATGGAGGATGCGAGGATAGAACTACAAACATGGAGAATGTGATGATAGAACTACAAAGATGGAGGATGTGATGATTAGTAAGTAAGTCATGTCCTCTCACTCCACACAGAGATGGGAGTGGGGTCGCCGAACAGGAGGCGCATTGTACATATTTTTAGTGGTAGGGGAAACCGGAGTACCCGGAGGAAACCTACGCAGACACGTGGAGAACATGCAAACTCCACTCAGAAAGGCCCTGGTCCGACCGGGATTTGAACCCAGGACCTTCTTGCTGAGAGGCGAGAGTGCTATTCACTCAGCCACCGTGCCGCCCATGATAGAACTACAAAGATGGAGGATGCGAGGATAAAACTACAAACATGGAGTTTGTGTAAGATCTCAGTCGTACAGGAACTATTCAAAACAAAGGAAGGTCGTTCATCATCTGTGTTTCAGTTCAGCAGGTTTACCAACATGGAGGATGTGATGGTACCTCGTACCTGGTACCTTGGGGCTGGTACCTTGGGGCTGGTACCTAGGGGCTGGTACCTAGGGGCTGGTACCTAGGGGCTGGTACCTAGGGGCTGGTACCTTGGGGCTGGTACCTAGGGGCTGGTACCTAGGGGCTGGTACCTAGGGGCTGGTACCTAGGGGCTGGTACCTAGGGGCTGGTACCTAGGGGCTGGTACCTTGGGGCTGGTACCTTGGGGCTGGTACCTTGGGGCTGGTACCTTGGGGCTGGTACCTTGGGGCCGTAGGTGGCGGCAAGCACTGTCAAAGCACCGTTCAGCACAAATGCACTGCTCAGACTGAAGCGCAGCAAAGCATCATGGGAAGTGTAGGCCGCCAGCACCAGAGCACTGAACAGAGCCAGAGCCGAGAGTCCGGACTTCAGGAAGACCGGGATCAGACCAGGACCCAAACCAGGACTCAGACCAGGACCCAGACCAGGACCCAGACCAGGACCCAGACCAGGACCCAGACCAGGACTCCAGGACACAAACAGACCCAAGCCCTGGACAGAGACAAGCTCAGTGTGTGTGTGTGTGTTTGTTGTGTGTGTGTGTGTCACTGTGTCTGTGTCACTGTGTGTGTGTGCGTGTGTCTCACCAGCAGGGGGCCCTTGTATCCACACACAGCAGTGATCCAGAGCTCAGAGTGAGAACAGCTGCAGACACCAGACACCACAGCGCCCCCTTCTGACGGCTGCAGACAGAGACCTGTGAGCGCCCCCTATGGCCGCACCGTGTGAGCGCACCGTGTGAGCGCACCGTGTGAGCGCACCGTGTGAGCGCACCGTGTGAGCGCACCGTGTGAGCGCACCGTGTGAGCGCACCTTATGGCCGCACCGTGTGAGCGCACCGTGTGACTGACCTGCTGCGTCTCCACCCGCCTCAGAGGCTCCATCAGGCTCCAGCAGGATAAAACAAACACATCCACCAGGAGGCACCAGAAGAGGAAGTGACCAGGAATCTGGAGAGGAGACTGAGAGAGACAAGACCATCAGAGAGACCAGAGGGAGAGACCAGGGAGAGAGACCAGGGAGAGAGACCAGAGAGAGAGACCAGAGAGAGAGACCAGAGAGAGAGAGAGACCAGGGAGAGAGACCAGAGAGAGACCAGAGAGAGACCAGAGAGAGACCAGAGAGAGACTAGACAGAGAGACCAGATAGAGAGACCAGAGAGAGAGACCAGAGAGAGAGAGAAACCAGGGAGAGAGAGCAGAGAGAGAGAGACCAGAGAGAGACCAGAGAGAGAGACCAGAGAGATACCAGAGAGATACCATAGAGGAGAGAGACCAGGGAGAGAGAGACCAGGAGGGACCAGAGAGGAGAGAGACCAGGGATAGAGACCAGAGAGAGACCAGAGAGAGACCAGAGAGAGACCAGAGAGAGAGACCAGTGGAGACCAGAGAGAGACCAGAGAGAGACCAGTGGAGACCAGAGAGACCAGAGAGAGACCAAAGCAAGAGTAGAGAGAGAGACCAGAGAAAGACCAGAGGAGACCAGGAGATCCCAACAAGACCAGGAGATACCAGAAAGATCATGGGATCTTTGGGAGCAGCGTCTGCAGTCAGAGCTCAGTCTATGTTCCCGCCCTCACGTTGGTCATTTGACTGGGGTGTAGTACCTTGTGCAGCCTGTAGGTGGCGGAGTACAGACTCCAAGCCTCAGTGAAGAGTCCAGAGAAGACCACAGAGTGACCAAGGACCAGAGACCAGAGCTGAACCTACCAGAGACCAGAGTGAGACCATAGAGAGACCAGAGAGAGAGACCAGAGAGAGACCAGAGAGAGAGACCAGAGAGAGACCAGAGAGAGACCAGAGAGAGAGACCAGAGAGAGATCAAAGAGAGATCAGAGAGACCAGAGAGAGAGACCAGAGAGAGAGATCAGAGAGAGACCAGAGAGAGACAAGAGAGAGGCCAGAGAGGGATCAGAGAGAGACCAGAGAGGGATCAGAGAGAGACTAGAGAGGGATCAGAGAGAGACCAGAGAGAGACCAGAGAGAGACCAGAGAGAGACCAGAGAGAGGGACCAGAGAGAGAGACCAGAGAGAGAGACCAGAGAGAGACCAGAGTTGAGAGATGGACATAAAACATTGAAAATACAAACTCACAGTGCAGAGGACGGTCTGAGTCTGATCCGAGACTGAGACTTGGTCTAGACCAGAGACCAGGACTGAGACACAGCAGAGGACCAGACCCAGGGACACCAGGACCTCACGAGGACCAGACCTGTTTAAGAGACCAGGACTGAACCAGGTCTGAACCAGGTCTGAACCAGGACTGAACCAGGACTGAACCAGGTCTGTACCTGGTCTGTACCCGGTCTGAACCCGGTCTGAACCAGGTCTGTTCATACCGGAGACGGAGACAGAGCACACTCAGCAGCATCACAAAGATGGAGGCCGTCGCCATGACGACGTACAGCTCCAGAGTCACATGACGTATCACTGTCCGGACCAGGGTCTTGTCACTGGGTGGAGCACCTCCTGCAGAGAGGAGGAGAAGCTGAGAAGAAAGGTTGGGGGGAAGGAGGAGCAGGAGGAGGTGCTGACCTGGAAAGTGCAGGAGGTGGAGACTCAGCTTCAGTTCATCTTCACTCGTGTTAAACTCTCCGACTGAAACACTGCTGTTGCCTGAGGAGGACTACAAACATGGAGGACGAGAGGACTACAAACGTGGAGGATGAGAGGACTACAAACATGGAGGACGAGAGGACTACAAACGTGGAGGACAAGAGAACTACAAACATGGATGACTGACCTTGTAACTGCGTCAGTTCCAAAGTCGCCATTCTCTCTCCTCCTCTGAACCACACTGCCCCCTGTGGACGAGGCGTTTCAGAACACGTCTGTTCTACACATGGTTTTGACTTCAACTTACTCCTGCTTGCACATGCTAACACATGCTAACTCATGCTATCTCACGCTACACAAGCCAACTTTGCAAACACAAGCCAACTCTGCTAACACATGCTAACTCTACTAACACATGCTAACATGATAACTCATGCTAAATTATTCTAACACATGCTAACACATGCTAACTCATGCTAACACAAGCCAACTCTGCTAACACAAGCCAACTCTGCTAACACAAGCCAACTCTGCTAACACAAGCCAACTCTGCTAACACAAGCCAACTCTGCTAACACATCCTTACTCTGCTAACACATGTTTATACATGATAACTCATGCTAAATTATGCTAACTCATGCTAAAATGCACATGCTAACTCTGGTAAAGTAAACTTCGTACCGTGACTCCGTTGAAGCGTGTGGCTTTCACTGCCTGCAGCAGCCGCTCTGCCATCACCTCTGAGTCCAGACCTGGGTCTGGTCCTGGGTCCAGTTCTATGTCTGGTCCTGAGTGAGTCCGGGTCTCCGCCCGGTCCAGGACTCGGTCTAGAGCCAGAGCAGTGAGCCAAACGGCGTCGTACACAAAGCCGTGCAGCGGCGCCACCTTCAGGCCAGAAGAGGAGAGGCGCTGAAGGTACAGGCGCTCGTACTCCTCTGCAGTCTGACCCAGAGAGGCAGAAAGTGACTCACAAGGACACAGGCCCAGAGAGGCCCAGAGAGGCCCAGAGTGGCCCAGAATGGGGGTTACTGACCCGGCCAGACACTCCCGGTCCCTGGTCCGGTCTCAGTCCTTGGGCTCGGACTGAGATGGATCCTTCTGCAGCAGAGAGCAGGGTCTGTGTGGAGCACTGAGACCTGGTCCAGTCCAGACTCAGGTCTCCCAGGACCACCCACTGCACCTGAGACCCAAGCCTCAGCCTGTGGACCTGAGGAGAGAGGAGACTACAGTTACAGACCCCAGCTTTAACTCTATGTTAAGTTTAGTTCATGAACTCACGCAGCAGAACAGTTCAGACTCTGTCTCCAACTGAACGATGACGATCCTCACGTCTCGCTCCTGAAACAGGAACCAAAGACTGCATACACTAGCTCAATGCTAACTCACTAGCTCAATGCTAACTCACTAGCTCAATGCTAACTCACTAGCTCAATGCTAACTCACTAGCTCAAGGCTAACCTCAATGCCAACTCACTAGCTCAATGCTAACTCACTAGCTCAAGGCTAACTCACTAGCTAAAGGCTAACTCACTAGCTCAAGGCTAACCTAAATGCTAACTCACTAGCTCAAGGCTAACCTCAATGCTAGCTCACTAGTTCAATGCTAATTCCCTAGCTCAATGCTAACTCATTATCTCAAGGCTAACCTCAATGCTAACTCAATAGCTCAATGCTAAATCACTACCTCAAGGTTAACCTCACTGCTAACTCACCAGCTCAAAGCTAAATCACTAGCTCAATGCTAACTCACTAGCTCAATGCTAACTTACTAGCTCAATGCTAAGTCACTAGCTCAATACTAAGTCACTAAATCAATGCTAACTCACTAGCTCAATGCTAACCTGCTATCACAATGCTAACTCACTAGCTCAATGCAAACCAGCTAGCTCAATCCAAAGTAAAATCTTTTCTAGAGGTCAGAGGTCAGAGCTGGGGTCAGAGGTCAGCCTCACCTTGAGCTGCCTCAGATCTCCACAGCTGTTCACTGAGAACCTGACAGAGGACAGGACCTGGATCTGAGCCTGGTGCAGCTGCAGCAGCAGGTCTGACACCGACTGAAACATATACAATATACACACACATAATCATACATGTATACAGTATATACAAGGTCTACCTAATAAAGTGGCCCGTGAGTGTATATATTATATATATACACATATATATATAATGTATATATATATATACATATATATACATTATATATACATTATATATAATGTATATATATACATATATATATATATATACACATTATATATATGTATATATATACATTATATATACACATATATATATAATGTATATATAATGTATATATATATATATATATATATATATATAATATACACATTATATATATATAATGTGTATATATAATGTATATATATGTATATATATATTATATACACATTATATATATATAATGTGTATATATAATGTATATATATGTATATATATATATATATATATATATATTAGGGCTGTCAAAATTATCGCGTTAATTCACGTTAATTACCGTTTTCATTAACGCGTTAAAAAATAATTAACGCATTAACTGCCATTGACGTGTTAACACGTCAATTGCGTTCCCCGCTATTTTCACGTTCCCAGATGTCTGTTGTATCAAATATGTAAGGCTTGAGGCAATATTTTATCGAGCCAGCAGATGGCAGCATTGCTCTATGAATGGTTTGAAAACAGCTAGATGCACAAGTGCTTCTTTTTTCTCAGCTTTCTGGTGATTTCAATAAAACTTACCTCTACTCGACTGGGGATTACAGGGGAACGAAACAAGCTAGAAACAAAATTATTTTTGCTGATGAAAGTAGACAGTCCATTCTTTCAGAATCTGGTTTTGGATTTCAGATAGTCATTGTACACAATATTCTGTGGGTACCTGTTCTGAAATAGGCTGGCAGTCAATCGCATGTCCGAATGACCCGCCCATTTATAATAATATCACTCAGAATGCCACGGACACGTGCGTGTGTGATGGTGACAGCGGTAACGTGGTCCATATAATACACGCATATATATACACGCACAGGGGCCATTCTCTGATGTTCTCTGATGATGGAGGAGAGGAGGAGACACGCTGAAATGCAACCAAAGTCGCAAAATTAAAGCTGGGGTACTTACATTTTCTCTTTCATTAACAGCTCTTGTTGGTTGTACCCAAAAGTAGAAGGTTGTGAGCAAGTCAAACAGATTTAAGTACATTTGGTCTGAATAACAATGTGTCATTACATTTGAAAATCTCATTTAACTTCAATTGGAGTGGATTTGAAATAGAATGTTAAAAATGCGATTAATCGTGAGTTAACTCATCATTACTATGCGATTAATCAACTAAAAAAAATTAATCGTTTGACAGCCCTAATATATATATATATATTATATATATTAGGGCTGTCAAAATTATCGCGTTAACGCACGTTAATAAAAAAAATTCATTAATCGCGTAAAAAAAATAAATTTGACGCATGCCCATGCGTCCCATAATAACACTCAGAATGCCGCGGACACATGCGTGTGTAAGATGGGGACAGAGCAGGTAGACCCTCTGGGAATTCAAGTTTTGAAAGAATACACGCGTGACCGCGGGGCACTTGTTGTTTCCTGTATGAACTCTGCATGATGAGCTGCGGGCGCCACAGCGCTCTGGACAGTTCCCACTTCCAGCGACTGTGATCACGGCGAACGGCGCTGCGTAATGGGATCATATCCAAGACCACGCACAGAACTATTACAGAACTATTCTCTAGTGTGCGTACGTGTCTTTGCGTAACCGATGCACACAATAAATACAGCGCAGAAGCTGGACTGCGGAGCCTCAGTCTCCTCCGTGTCTTCTCCCGAAGCGCACTCGCTAAATTAAAGCTGAGGTACCTAATTTTTCTTTCGACCATCAGTTTATGTTGGTTGTGCCAAAAAAATTAATGGTGTGAGCAAATCAAACAGATTTAATGACATTCTGCATTTCAGTTTTGAAATGTCCCTCATCTGTAACAAACAATGGTTTTGGTCTGAGTCTAAACAGAAAGACAGAATGTTAATAATGTTAATTCCGTTTTATATGGATTTATTGTTATAACAAACAAATACAGTTCATATGTTCACTAAGCTGACATTTATCTTTCCATTCAAACAACCATTTATGGAAAAATACGGCATAATTTTGCGATTAATTACGATTAATTAATTTTTAAGCTGTAATTAACTCGATAAAATTTTTTTATTGTTTGACAGCCCTAATATATATATATATATATATATATATAATATAAATATAATCGGTGGCGGCCTGTGCATGTCCCAGCCTCTGTGCTGGGAGGAGGAAACTGATCTGGCTGGTCCCCTGCCCACAGCTCAGCCCCACGCCCCAAACGCACACCTTGGATAAATGCTATGGGAGTATTTATCCACCACACGCTTACTGATCTTATTGTGGCTTTGAGAAGGTTCGAGGAGGTCCGATCATTATGTTGTGCCCAGTGGGGGAGGGTCCCAGCTCAAAAGAGGCCAAAATGACGTGCGCTGACATGCTGCAATACCACCCCGGGCCAATGGGGGTGGACCCAGAAGAAGAATTAGCCAATGCTAACATATAGCATTGGCAGACCTCTCAAAAACGTCTTTACAGGATGGACCAAAAGTTGTCTCTTGGCCCAAAGCTCCGTTCCACATGTGTGTCAATGCTGAGGGGGGTGTTTTGGTCCACTCTAGTTTACTTGCTGTGAATTTTTGAAGTCTCTCGTTCAAATGAATGGAGCTGCGCCGGCTGACGCATGCGCAGATGCGTTTTTCACAATTTTCTTGTGGGCGGGACCACTCGCGGCCATTTTGGATTGCTCCAGTAGAGCACATTTTTTGGCCCATTAGTTAGAACAGCGGAGATAGGCGTGACTGTGTCCATTAATATTTACAGTCTATGGTTGTGCCCAACTGACACAGGAAAGAGCAGTAATAAATGTGCTGAGGCTTTAAGGGAAGGCCTTTTCTGACTCTTGTGACGATGTAAATGATCTCAGAGAAACTGTTACTTTCTATTTGACCTTCTGTGAAAGTCATTTGCACAAAAACTGTAAAGATTTATCCTGACACCAAAGCTCGGTTTGCATTAATGAGAAGAAGTCAGCGGTAATCTAGACCTGCTCAGAGAAAAGAGATCAGAATGAACAAAGCAACAATAGAACAGACAGGAGGACTTTCTGCTCAGGGAACATCAGGACTGCACGGGAGGGCTTCGACCATATGATGGGCTGGGAGACAGAACAGACGCACTGCGCTCTCTTCTTCTTCAGTAACGTTAATGACTTGAATGTATTCTACAGTCGGTTCGATAAGACTGATTTGAGCTCAGATTGTGATTTTATCTGGGATTCGATCCCAGAGTATGACCCTATTGTACTCACTGAACAACAAGTGGGTGCTAGCTTAGCCCAGATAAAACCAGATAAAACCAGGGAAAGCCACAGGGCCGGTGGCCTCTCAGGGAGACTCTTAAAGCTGTGTGCATCAATTGAAAAGTGTTTTGACTGTAGTTTTTAATGTTCAGACACACACCTGCCCTGAGTCCTGGAGGGGCAGGTGGAAAAAAATATTGTGCCTGTCCCTAAGAACCCGGAGCATCTGAGCTGAATGATGTTCGGCCTATTGCGCTGACCTCCATCTAGTTTAAAACCATGGAGAGAGCTCTAACAAACACATCATGTCTCTGTATCACACTGTTTGGACCACTTACAGTTAGCATACAACAGTCGGAGTTAGCGTACAACAGTCGGAGTTAGCGTACAACAGTCGGAGTTAGCGTACAACAGTCGGAGTTAGCGTACAACAGTCGGAGTTAGCGTACAACAGTCGGAGTTAGCGTACAACAGTCGGAGTCAGCGTACAACAGTCGGAGTCAGCGTACAACAGTCGGTGTCAGCGTACAACAGTCGGAGTCAGCGTACAACAGTCGGAGTCAGCGTACAACAGTCGGAGTCAGCGTACAACAGTCGGTGTCAGCGTACAACAGTCGGAGTCAGCGTACAACAGTCGGAGTCAGCGTACAACAGTCGGAGTCAGCGTACAACAGTCGGAGTCAGCGTACAACAGTCGAAGTCAGCGTACAACAGTCGGAGTCAGCATACAACAGTCGGAGTCAGCATACAACAGTCGGAGTCAGCATACAACAGTCGGAGTTAGCATACAACAGTCGGAGTCAGCATACAACAATCGGAGTCAGCATACAACAGTCGGAGTCAGCACACAACAGTCGGAGTCAGCATACAACAGTCGGAGTTAGCATACAACAGTCGGAGTTAGCATACAACAGTCGGAGTTAGCATACAACAGTCGGATCACTGTTTAACACTGTCGCTGAACATCTCCAACATCTGCAGCCTCTGACCACTACGCTACGATTCTCTTTGTGGATTTCTCGTCAGCTTTTAACTCTATCCAGGAACATATTTTATGGACCGACTCATGGACCTTGGAGTTCACGCTGAGGCGTAATCAAAGGGGTCAGAGACTTTCATCTAACCGTCCTCACAGAGTAGTACTTGGTTCTGATATCTCAGAAGTCTTAAACACCTATTGCTTTCACAATGGTGAATGCAAATGGTGACGGTGCGTGACGCACCAAAACGGGACGGTTGCGTGCGTAAACTCAAACACTTTAAAATGATGTATCACGTGCCATTGAAACCTATATTGTTTTTGCTCGAGACGTCAAAAAAAAAATCCTTTCTTTCTTTTTTCTTCTGCACTTTGAGCCTTAATTTGACCCCCTCAACATGCATGAAAAGTTCTTAAATTTTGCCCAAAAATCAGACCTGGCGAAAAATTTGATATTTTGGTGTTTTTTTATGGGACTCAAAAAATGCCAGAACAGCGCCACCTACAACAGCCAAAATAATACCCCTATGGGAGTTTTGAAGATCAAGTTTGTCGTAGAAACATGAAATTTGGTACACATGTTCCTCAAGTCTAGACATGAAATAGAAGTTATTATGGCTCCGCCCCCTGACGAACAGGAAGCCCATAAAGTTCACTGCAAAATGGAAAAATGATCCTTTTCATACATGTCGGTTGGAAAGCGACTCCTCCTCGGCCGTTTCACAGATTGGCCTCAAAATCGCTCCACATCATCTCAACACAAGTACCTTCAAAATGACCTCAGGGATTTTTGATTGTTTGAGCAGCGGAGCAGCAAAATGTGAGTGTTTTTTGGCTGTTTTTGACAACATTAAATTTGCTCCCGTTTGCACAAACAAAGTCTGATTTTCACAAAACTTGAATCCATTGTTTTGCTCCAGGGTTTAGGTCAGGTGAAAGTGAAAAATTTGAACGTAGTCTGTAGGGGGCGCTAATGAGCTGATTCAAAGTTTACATGGGGAGCCAAACAGCTCTACTTATCATATTCATTACAATTTTACTGACATTCTTCTATGGCTACGGGAACAAATCATCACACGGCGGCGCCACCTCCTCTGCGCAGTGTTGCGTGGTACGGTGTGGTGCGGCGTAGTGCGGGGCGGCTTTATGTGGGGCGGCGTGGTGCAGAGCGGCTTGGTGCAGATCGGCTTGGTGCAGGGCGGCTTGGTGCGGGGCGGCTTGGTGCGGGGCGGCTTGGTGCGGGTCGCCGTGGTGCGGAGCGGTGCGGGGAGTGCACGGTGCTGCAAGGGCCGTTTGACGCCGCTTGCGGCTTTAATTTGTTTTTACTTCTTAAAACTCATTGGACTTATTTCCAAATGGAGGATTACATATCTGCGCTCAAACTGTTATCTGGACTTAAACATGAAACTGGTCTGAACTGAACTGGTCTGTGCTGTTCATTAATAACTAAGGTAAGACCACAACACATATATATTACATATATGTGTATATGTATGTACATTATATGGTCAGACCTGGGAGATCCGGGGGGAGGAGCTCTGGGAGACCACGCCCACTCTGCTCCAGTCCAGAGTCTGCAGCAGCTTCACCACAGCTCGGTTCATCCACCAATCAGAGGGCACCGTGCTGACCATGTGACCTGACCACCTTCTGGAAGAGAGAGGAGGGGGCGGAGCCAAGAACGACACCTGCAAAAGGTCGAGCAGAAGGTCCAGTCCCGGGTTCAGTCCCGCGGTTCAGTCCTGGTTCAGTCCCGATTCAGTCCCGGTCCAGTCTGGTCTCACTCTGGGTTCTTTGGTCTCTTCCTTATCCGTGCTCTTGCCTCTTTTCAAAGTCTTTCTGTGTTTGTGTAATCAATAAAACCTCGACAATTCTTTCAATTTGTAAAACTGCCAAAGTCCCTCAGACCTGAACATCTACAGGCCAATCTGTGCCACCTCAGGCCAATCTGTGCCACGGCCCATTATTCAGATCATAGGTTTTACTCTGAATATCAGAAAATGTATGAATACAACTTTTTTAACATCATCCAATACGTGTCTGTGTGTGTGTGTCTCACCTGGACCATGTGGAGGCGGGGCAGGGCAGGTGTGAGTGATGATGTCACAGTAGGACACGCCCCTCCCAGCAGCAGCTGTGAATCAAGCCCCGCCCACTTCAGCTCGAACAGAGACTTCAGCAGCAGCGACACATTACACTGAGACGAGAGTAGGAGAATCGGCTCTACTCCGAGCTCAAAGAGGACCAGCACTGGGGTCTATGTTTAATGTGTGAAGTGTAGATAAAGTACAAAGACAGAAGCAGGAGGACTGCTAGCATTAGCAATAGCTTTAGCATTAGCCTGGACCAGGAAGTGCTGCGTGTGTGGGCGGAGACTCGCACCTGTTGCTCCACACGCTGCAGCTGAAGTTCATAGTTCCTCGTGGTCTTCACGTCCTCCAGGGCCTGGTCCAGAGCCAGGACCAGAGCCAGAGTCCGGTTATGGTCCGAGTCTAAGCCAGAGTCCGGGACCATCCACAGAACTGGGACCTGAACTGGAACCAGAGACCAGACCGAGTCCATCAGAAAGAGCAGGAGCAGAGGATGCATCTCACAGGGACCAGATCAGAGAGACCAGGGACCAGACAAGAGAGACCAGATACCAGACCAGAGAGACCAGGGACCAGACAAGAGAGATCAGGGACCAGACCAGAGAGACCAGGGATCAGACCAGAGGGATCAAACCAGAGAGACCAGACACCAGACCAGAGAGACCAGGGACCAGACACCAGACCAGAGAGCAGACACCAGAGATCAGGGACCAGACCAGAGAGACAAGGGACCATAGACCAGGGACCAGACCGGAGCAGAGAGCATCAGGAGGAGCGGACTCTTGGACTGAGACTTAATCCCGTTAGAGGATCAGAGCTCTGAATCTGTCACTGAGTGGGAACCTTAAAGCTGAGGAACCCAACTTTACTCAGACCACAACATGCCTCTGGTCCCTGTGAGTCACTATCTGGCCTGGTCCCTGTGAGTCACTATCTGCCTCCGGTCCCTGTGAGTCACTATCTGCCTCAGAGGTCCCTGTGAGTCACTATCTGCCTCTGGTCCCTGTGAGTCACTATCTGCCTCAGAGGTCCCTGTGAGTCACTATCTGGGCGGCACGGTGGCTGAGTGGATAGCACTCTCGCCTCTCAGCAAGAAGGTCCTGGGTTCGAATCCCGGTCGGACCAGGGCCTTTCTGAGTGGAGTTTGCATGTTCTCCCCGTGTCTGCGTAGGTTTCCTCCGGGTACTCCGGTTTCCCCTACCACTAAAAATATGTACAATAGTTCTGGCATATGCCTCCTGTACTGGCGACCCCACTCCCATCTCTGTGTGGAGTGAGAGACAAATGCCCAAAATTAACAATTGTAAACCGCTTTGAGACTCTGATCTGCAGTGAAAAGGCGGTATATAAATAAAAACTTACTTACTTACTTACTATCTGCCCCAGAGGTCCCTGTGAGTCACTATCTGCCTCTGGTCCCTGTGAGTCACTATCTGCCTTAGAGGTCCCTGTGAGTCACTATCTGCCTCTGGTCCCTGTGAGTCACTATCTGCCTCTGGTCCCTGTGAGTCACTATCTGCCTCAGAGGTCCCTGTGAGTCACTATCTGCCTCAGAGGTCCCTGTGAGTCACTATCTGCCTCAGAGGTCCCTGTGAGTCACTATCTGCCTCAGAGGTCCCTGTGAGTCACTATCTGCCTCAGAGGTCCCTGTGAGTCACTATCTGCCTCAGAGGTCCCTGTGAGTCACTATCTGCCTCAGAGGTCCCTGTGAGTCACTATCTGCCTCAGAGGTCCCTGTGAGCGGATTGGCTGGAGGATGTAGTTCCAGACTGTGGGCACCAGAGGGAGTGCTGCTGATGTTACTGAAGAAAAAACTGAATGTGTTTGAAGAGAACTTTATTTATAAACGTGAACAAAAACACAGACGCTCTCCTCACGTCTCACTGCAGCAAATATACTCATATAGAACACAACATTTGTACAAACTCAAAACATCAGGCCGAGAAGTTAGACATAAGACCAGAGAGAGAGACCAGAGAGAGAGAGACCAGAGAGAGAGAGACCAGAGAGAGAGAGACCAGAGAGAGAGAGACCAGAGCGAGACCAGAGAGCGAGACTAGAGGGAGAGACCAGAGAGAGACCAGAGAAAGATCAGAGAGAGACCACGAGAGAGATCACGAGAGAGATCAGAGAAAGATCAGAGAGAGATCAGAGAGAGACCAGAGACCAGAGAGAGACCAGAGAGAGACCAGAGAGAGACCAGAGAGAGACCAGAGAGGGAGACCAGAGAGAGAGACCAGAGGGAGACCAGAGGGAGACCAGAGAGAGACCACGAGAGAGACCACGAGAGAGATCAGAGAGAGACCACGAGAGAGACCACGAGAGAGATCAGAGAGAGACCAGAGAGGGAGACCAGAGAGAGACCAGAGAGACTAGTTTTAACCTCGTCTGTCGTCAGCTTATCTGTGGCCTGTTCTCGCGGTGCGCTCTGGCTCCGCCCCCTCTCCTCTTCCTGCTTCCTGGTTTGTGCTCAGAGGCCACACCCCCCCACAGGTCGCAATGGTGCCCAGGACGCTGGTATCCCAGCATGCCTCTGTCTAGAGGGACAGTGGACAGCAGGACCCAGAGACAGGGCGTGTTCCTGCGGACAGACAGAGGCTCCAGGCCCAGAGCGGGGTCCAGAGGGTCCCAGCGATCGACCAATGAGGAGTAAGCCAGCTGCGTCACCTGGGAAACACTCAGGTTACCACGGAAACACACCCTGTACACCCTGTAGTCCCCTCAGACTGTCTAGACCAGGGGTCGGCAACCCGCGGCTCCGGGTTTTATTTCTAGCTTGAATGTGGTTTCTGTTGGAGGAAAAACATTCTTTAAGTTTTTAAATGCTGTAAAAATGTGCATAAGTAATATTTCATTTCAACATTTCTGTAAACGTAGTACGTCATATCCTATGATGCGCGGTTACACGGCCCCGCCCCAGGCGACCGCTGCTGTAAACAAACCGGCGTGTGAGCATCATAGACTGTAAGTGCACAGGGATCAAAGATAAAGAGAGAAAGAGTCGATAAACTGGACTAAGAAAGAACATTTGCTTCACGACTGCTTCATGTTTGTAATGAGAAGTTGCAACACGAGCGAAACACTGTTCACGGTGATTTCGTGAAGGATTCATTCATCAAAAATTCAGAGCACCGGACTTCCGGGTTTGGCAACGAGGAGAATGGCAGCATAATTCTGAGCTCTTGCCAGTCAAACACAATCTAACCCCGTTCAGACACAAAGACATCTGAATTCAACATCAAAAGGTGATATGAGTGGGCAGACAAACTCAAAGAACCCGAAACAAACAAGAAGGCGACATGGAAGAAAATGTGGCCTCTACCGAAGAAAACGGAGTTAACATGCTAGTGGCTAGCATCCCATCATGGCTAACAGCGCCACCCGACATGACAATGGAAGCTCTAAGTCAAGAAATCAAACATTTCAGTCTTTTAAAGAAGAAGTTAAGGATGACATTAAGAAGGAGTTTGATATAAGGTCGATATAAACAAGAGACTGGATGACAACGATCGAGCAGTTCGTTATGTTGAGCAAGACATGAACGAGTCTTTGAAAGAAGCTCACACACGCATTGGCGAAGTTGAAGGATGGAGCACCGAAGCAAAGGATGCCATTTTAAAAGTCCTAAAAGAACAAAGGATTCTCAAAAACAAGCTCACAGACTTGGAGGGGAGATCGCGGAGAAACAGTATGCGTATCTTTGGAAACTGGAGTCACCAGCGGAGACTCCTCTCATGATCCAGCGGCACACTGGGCAGCCGCCGGGAGACCTGCCCTGCTCAGGGCAGCCGCCGGGAGACCTGCCCTGCTCAGGGCAGCCGCCGGGAGACCTGCCCTGCTCAGGGCAGCCGCCGGGAGACCTGCCCTGCTCAGGGCAGCCGCCGGGAGACCTGCCCTGCTCAGGGCAGCCGCCGGGAGACCTGCCCTGCTCAGGGCAGCCGCCGGGAGACCTGCCCTGCTCAGGGCGCCGCGCTCCATCGTTGTGAACTTTCTTCGGTTTGACATAAAAGAGATGATCCTGAAGAAGGCTTGGCAGAAACGCAGAGGAGATGCAGGAGAGGGGACTGGAGGTAACAACCAGGGCAGCAGAAGAGGGGACTGGAGGTAACGACCAGGGCAGCAGAAGAGGGGACTGGAGGTAACGACCAGGGCAGAGGAGGAGATGCAGGAGAGGGGACTGGAGGTAACAACCAGGGCAGCAGAAGAGATGCAGGAGAGGGGACTGGAGGTAACGACCAGGGCAGAGGAGGAGGGCGAGGATGCGATGGAGAGCGGTATGCAGCAGGTCTTCCCCTGGTGAAGGAGCGAGACACAGGGGGCAGAAGGAGCGAGAAACATGGGGCAGAAGGAGCGAGACACAGGGGGCAGAAGGAGCGAGACACAGGGGGCAGAAGGAGCGAGACACAGGGGGCAGAAGGAGCGAGACACAGGGGGCAGAAGGAGCGAGACACAGGGGGCAGAAGGAGCGAGACACAGGGGGCAGAAGGAGCGAGACACAGGGGGCAGAAGGAGCGAGACACAGGGGGCAGAAGGAGCGAGACACAGGGGGCAGAAGGAGCGAGACACAGGGGGCAGAAGGAGCGAGACACAGGGGGCAGAAGGAGCGAGACACAGGGGGCAGAAGGCGCGAGACACAGGGGGCAGAAGGAGCGAGACACAGGGGGCAGAAGGAGCGAGACACAGGGGGCAGAAGGAGCGAGACACAGGGGGCAGAAGGAGCGAGACACAGGGGGCAGAAGGAGCGAGACACAGGGGGCAGAAGGAGCGAGACACAGGGGGCAGAAGGAGCGAGACACACAGGGCAGAAGGAGCGAGACACAGGGGGCAGAAGGAGCGAGACACAGGGGGCAGAAGGAGCGAGACACACGGGGCAGAAGGAGTGAGACACAGGGGCAGAAGGAGTGAGACACAGGGGGCAGAAGGCGCGAGACACAGGGGGCCAAAGGCGCGAGACACAGGGGGCAGAAGGAGCGAGACACAGGGGCAGAAGGAGCGAGACACAGGGGGCAGAAGGAGCGAGACACAGGGGGCAGAAGGAGTGAGACACGGGGGCAGAAGGCGCGAGACACAGGGGGCAGAAGGCGCGAGACCCACGGGGCAGAAGGAGCGAGACACAGGGGGCAGAGAGAGACACACGGGGCAGAGTGAGACACACGGGGCAGAGGCTGCAGGAGCTTCAGAGACAAAGTGAAGAGAAATATTGGAGGTGACACGTTTTAATTATTTGGCTCTTATTTTAGTTCCCTGAAATAGAGTTAAAACAACTGCAGAAACGGTGTAAGTGACTGGTCCTAGAACAAGATTGTTCTAGCAGCTGCAGAGGGGCCCTTAGGGAGGCACTACCCCTCCCTGACCATTGGGACACCAGGACCTCCTGCAGGTCCTTTCACTTACAGGACGGCCTTTTTGTTTTATTGTTTGTTCTGAGTGTTCTTATTGTTTCAGGGTCAGGCTGTATAACGATTTTCTGTGTTCAAATGCATCAAAATAATGTGAATTTCACTTCTCTTAATGTGAATGGACTAAATAATTCAATTAAAAGGGCAAAGGTTCTGGCAAAATTTGAAAAAGGAAAAAGCAGAAATAATCTTTCTAAGAAACCCACCTCTCGGACACAAATACAACAATAATACTTTTACAGCTCATTCAAAGGAGGTCGTAAACGAGGAGTAGCTTAGTCTCCAACAACACCACATTTGTCTAAAAGAGACAAAGAGACAAAGGTGATATGTTCTGGTAAAGCTGGAAAACTCTGTCACATTGTTTCATATATTTGCTCCTCTAGAATCTGAAAAACATTCTACAAGTCAGTGTTTGATCACATGACTCTGGTATCGGAGGGTATCGGAGGGTATCGGAGGTGATTGGAATGTTCTTTTGAACCATACCCTGAGGAAAAGTAAATGTCACGATTAGAGCTGCAACTAACGATCATTTTGTAATCGATTAATCTATCGATTATTTTTACGATTAATCGAGTAATCGCTTGGCTGTGAATTGTGTAGAAATTTTTTACATATTATGAAGGTGGAGCCAAATCAACAAACTCTCTCGCTACACAATTAAGAAATAAACAACAGAACACCATCTATGTCCAAAACTTTAGAATATAAACCAGAAGAGATCAAAGAGACATTTGAAGGTTATTTCTCAAACCTTTACTCTCAAACCTTTACTCTCAAACCTTTACTCTCAGCCTGAATCAGCAGATGATGAAACAATTGAAATATTCCTAAACTCATTAGATCTTCCAAATAGAGGCGAGTCACAAAATACTATATTATGTTCTCAAATAACAGAAAAATACAATAAAAAAATGAAATCAAATAAACCCCAGGGACAGAGGCTTCCTCTTTGAATGGAAGAAAAGATCTATTGACTTCTTGGGGATTCAAGTTACAAATAACCTTAATGCACTGAAACAGACGACAAGGCTTTGAATCTACAACTGTTTACAGATATAGACAGATCTGTTTACAGATATAGACAGATCTGTTTACAGAGATATAGACAGATCTGTTTATAGAGATATAGACAGATCTGTTTACAGAGATTTAAAGATGGAACATTTTTTACACAAAAGAATTGAAACTATAAAGATGAACGTGCTCCAGCGCGGATACAAAACAACAATTTACAGAGTGGGACAAAAACAGTTCTAGATTCATCTGGAATGGGGCAAAACAAGAATTATTATATGACTTGGACCGTACGCTCTGATTGGCTGATTACCGGTCTGATATTTTCCCATCTCGGACCGTTACCATGACAATCTGTCCGCAGCTCGTATCACACAAAACCAAGTTGGACATGAACATACTTCACAAATACCTCCAAATCATTGGTAAAGACACAGACGAGAGTCATATAATAAAACATGTATTAACCTCGCCACGGCTCGGTCTGTGCATTAAGGCTCGGTCTGTACATTAAGGCTCGGTCTGTGCATTAAGGCTCGGTCTGTGCATTAAGGCTCGGTCTGTGCATTAAGGCTCGGTCTGTGCATTAAGGCTCGGTCTGTACATTAAGGCTCGGTCTGTGCATTAAGGCTCGGTCTGTGCATTAAGGCTCGGTCTGTGCATTAAGGCTCGGTCTGTGCATTAAGGCTCGGTCTGTACATTAAGGCTCGGTCTGTGCATTAAGGCTCGGTCTGTGCATTAAGGCTCGGTCTGTGCATTAAGGCTCGGTCTGTACATTAAGGCTCGGTCTGTGCATTAAGGCTCGGTCTGTGCATTAAGGCTCGGTCTGTGCATTAAGGCTCGGTCTGTGCATTAAGGCTCGGTCTGTGCATTAAGGCTCGGTCTGTACATTAAGGCTCGGTCTGTGCATTAAGGCTCGGTCTGTACATTAAGGCTCGGTCTGTGCATTAAGGCTCAGTCTGTGCGTTAAAGGGTGGACCTGGAAGAATACTTCTCTGCAGCTCAAACCTTTGATTTTTTGGTGTGATTCTGAATATGTTGCTAAGTGGAAGCAAATAGAATTGAACGATGTATACCATGTACAAGCTGTGATTGATAACAGAAAACTGTTTAAAGAAAATGAAAACAAAATAGAACCATTACCAAATGCACTCTGGAGGTTTGGTAACTGTTTATCTGGCCTGCATTCCACACATATTTCAGACCAGGAAGTATGAACATAAAATTCCAGGAATGGTCAAACCAAGGGTTGAATATTTTAAACTAATTTGTCCAAAAAGGGGAATGTGCAAGCTTCCAAAACCTACACAAAAATGTAACTTAGCTCAAAAAGACTTATGTGCCACAAGTGAGAGATCATCTGAAAGAGATGAGACCAAACCTCTCGGTGAAATGAAACCTCCACAAAGTCAGAGAAAGAAAAGGCCGTTGAGGACCTTCAGCTCCAGACACTTCAGCCTGTGATGGATGTGAGCAGACAGAGCTGCAGGTGAACTCTGAACCACAGATCTATTTACTGTGTCTCTACTTTTGCATGAAGGCAAACAAATGGAAGTTAAACTAAGGCAGAGTCGTCACGTGGTGCGTCATTCACGACACGCTGCAGTGAAAACACACATTTGATAATCATGAAGGATTATTATGTGTTTGTAGCCTTTACTTTGTCATTTAGACATTAGGCTAATATACTGAAGCTAATACAGCTGCAGCCTGTGCTACCTTCAGGAAAGCCTCATACAAGGCTCCAGACACATGTTTTTTTGTCAAATAAGGCTCTTTGAACCTTTTGAGCTGCCGACCCCTGGTCTAGACCCTGTAGTCCCTGGTGTAGTCCCCTCAGACCCTCTAGTCCCAGTAGACCCCTCAGACCCTGTAGTGCCTGTAGTACCTGGTGTAGTCCCTGTAGTCCCTGTAGTCCCCTCAGACCCTGTAGTGCCTGTAGTACCTGGTGTAGTCCCTGTAGTCCCTGTAGTCCCCTCAGACCCTGTAGTGCCTGTAGTACCTGGTGTAGTCCCTGTAGTCCCCTCAGACCCTGTAGTGCCTGTAGTCCCTGGTGTAGTCCCTGTAGTCCCCTCAGACCCTGTAGACCTGTAGTACCTGGTGTAGTCCCTGTAGTCCCTGTAGTCCCCTCAGACCCTGTAGACCTGTAGTACCTGGTGCAGTCCGGGGACTCTCCTCTTCAGGATCTCCACACAGCTGATGGCTTTAGAGGCAGCTTTCCCCTCAGCAGTGACCACCACAGAGCGCCCCCTGCAGTCTGCACCGAGACTGCACCCAGACCCCGGCCTCTGCTCCGGTCCGGACCCCGGCCTCTGCTCCGGTCCGGACCCCGGTCCAGGATCAGCTCTAGAGAACAGCAGAATAGTCTCAGTTCAGTCCCAAGAGGCTTCAGAAGGAGTCACATTGACAGGACTCACACTGACTGACTCACCCCGACTCACCCCGACTCACCGTCTTTGGCTCGCCTTACGTCTCATTTAATGTTCATATAGTTGATTGACTGCGGAACCTTCCGCAGTCAACCATTGGTTTTGTATTTCTTTATTCCGTCATTTTTTTTGACACGTTTCACAGCTTTCACATTTTCAACAATTTCCACAAGTTATACATCAAAACGTTCCACATGTTTGGGAGATTATTGCTATTACTTTTGGGACTTCAGCGATTTCCGGTTTTTCCGCAATCGGACAAAAATCTGCATTGAGAATTCTGCAATGCATTTTAATAGGCCCATGCATTTTAATAGGACTTCAGCTCTTTCAGACATTTCTACAGTTTCAATGATTCAACAGTTTCAAGGATTCAACAGTTTCAAGGATTTCAGCAGTTTCAAGATTTCAAGAGTTTCAAGGACTTCAACAGTTTCAAGGACTTCAGCAGTTTCAAGGACTTCAGCAGTTTCAAGGACTTCAGCAGTTTCAAGGACTTCAGTGTAATCATGCAACCTAATAGGGATTTTTCCATGTAAACCAGTATAATGCAACTTAATAGGGTTTTTTCCATGTAAACCAGTATAATGCAACTTAATAGGGTTTTTTCCATGTAAACCAGTATAATGCAACTTAATAGGGTTTTTTACATGTAAACCAGTATAATGCAACTTAATAGGGTTTTTTCCATGTAAACCAGTATAATGCAACTTAATAGGGTTTTTTCCATGTAAACCAGTAAATGCAACTTAATAGGGATTTTTCCATGTAAACCAGTATAATGCAACTTAATGGGGATTTTTCCATGTAAACCAGTATAATGCAACTTAATGGGGATTTTTCCATGTAAACCAGTATTATGCAACTTAATAGGGATTTTTCCATGTAAACCAGTATAATGCAACTTAATAGGGATTTTTCCATGTAAACCAGTATAATGCAACTTAATAGGGATTTTTCCATGTAAACCAGTATAATGCAACTTAATGGGGATTTTTCCATGTAAACCAGTATTATGCAACTTAATAGGGGTTTTTACATGTAAACCAGTATAATGGAACTTAATAGGGGTTTTTACATGTAAACCAGTATAATGCAACTTAATAGGGTTTTTTACATGTAAACCAGTATAATGCAACTTAATAGGGATTTTTCCATGTAAACCAGTATAATGAACTTAATAGGGTTTTTTACATGTAAACCAGTATAATGCAACTTAATAGGGATTTTTCCATGTAAACCAGTATAATGCAACTTAATAGGGTTTTTTACATGTAAACCAGTATAATGCAACTTAATAGGGGTTTTTACATGTAAACCAGTATAATGGAACTTAATAGGGGTTTTTACATGAAAACCAGTATAAAGGATAACAGTTTAAAGGATATCAGGAGCTTCAAATACTTCAGGAGTTTCAAAGATGTTTAAAGTATTTTAACAGTTTCAAGGATTTCAAGGATTTTTCAGCTAAATTCCACATTAGATCTGTTCCGCAGTCAATCGCAATGGCTTCAGCCATTGCAACGGTTTCTAGTTCAAGATGGCGCCTCGTACGGTCGACATGGCTCTTTGCTGCTCTCTTTTTCTTTTGTTTTTACTTTTTAACTGTGCATCTGGCTGTTCCTACACCCGTGAGGAACTTATGAACATCCGACCCACCGTTCCCATGGACCTATTGCCTGTTTTCTTGGCATCTGCGGCTGATTTAGTTCATGTTCTAGCCAAAAAAGTGTGGGCCCGTAAAAGGGGAAAGCGCGGAGGCCTGCTCGTGCGTCTTAGGAGGAGAGGAGCGCTCACGGCTCTCCCCGGCATTTTTCTCTCCAACGTACGCTCACTGGGCAATAAGATGGACGAACTCAGCCTGCTCATGAGAAGAAACAAGGACTTCGCCACATCCTGTGTCCTTTGCTTCACTGAGACCTGGCTAAATGAGCGGATCCCGGACTGCGCTCTGGAGCTGCAGGGCTTTGGGCTGTTCCGCGCGGATCGCCATTGTGCGCTCTCAGGGAAGAGCAGAGGCGGAGGGCTCTGTTTCTACGTCAATACAAACTGGTGTAACGATGTGACAGTGATCTCCAAGCACTGCTCTCCTGCTCTGGAATATCTTTTCATTCATTGTAAACCATATTACTCCCCTCGTGAAATTGTTTCATTCATTCTTGCCTCTGTTTACATACCGCCATGCGCGGACGCGCGCGAGGCTCAGCGCGCACTCGCAGAGCAAGTACTGTGTATGGAACGTGTATACCCGGACTCTCTGATTATTATCCTGGGGGATTTTAATAAGGGAAACTTGAGCCAGGAATTACCCAAATACAGACAGTTTATCAAATGCCCGACCAGAGAGGAGAACACTCTGGATCACTGTTACACCACCGTGCGCGGAGCTTTTCGCGCTGTTCCCAAGCCAGCCCTCGGCTTCTCAGATCACTCCATGATACATCTGGTTCCTGCTTACAGACAGAGACTAAAGCTCTCGAAACCTGCAGTGAGGAGCTCCAAAGTGTGGTCTGATGAAGCTGTGGAAGAGCTGCGCGCATGCATGGAATCTACAGACTGGGACCTTTTCAGAGCTGCCACAGACAGTTTGGATGAATACACGGACACTGTGACGTCATACATTCACTTCTGTGAGGATAGCATCATTCCAACAAGGACCAGGGTCATCTATAACAACGACAAACCCTGGTTCACTGCTAAACTCCGGCAGCTCAGGAAAGCAAAGGAGTCTGCTTTCAGGGAGGGGGACCGCAGCGGCTACAAAGCAGCTAAATATCAGTTCAGGAAAGAACTGAAAGCAGCCAAGTCCCGGCACAGAGAACGACTACAGGAGCAGTTTGGTAACAACGATACTGCTTCTGTCTGGAGGGGCCTACGGGAGATCACCAACTACAAACCCAAAGCCCCCCCCTGTGCTGATGACCACAAGCTAGCTGACGAACTGAACTTATTTTTCAGTCGCTTTGATGCTGCCCCTGACACCTCTCCCTCCCCCACCCCCCACTACTCTAACGACCCACCCATCAGCCCTGCCCCCAGCCTAACAATAGCCGCTAAAGAGATTAAACAACTCTTCTTGAGGCTGCACCCCCGCAAAGCTCCTGGCCCGGACCACGTGTCTCCGGCCACTCTGAGACACTGCGCCAGTGAGCTTACTCCTGTGTTCACGGACATTTTCAACACCTCTCTGCAGTCCTGCCATGTCCCGGCCTGCTTCAAATCCTCCATCATTGTCCCCGTCCCGAAGAAGCCCAGGATCACAGGACTCAATGACTACAGACCTGTAGCACTTACGTCTGTCGTCATGAAGTCATTTGAACGCCTGGTTCTCTCCCATCTCAAGTCCCTCACCTCCCCCCTCCTGGACCCCCTGCAGTTCGCCTACAGAGCCAACAGATCTGTAGACGACGCCATTAACCTGGCCCTCCACCACATCCTACAGCACCTGGACTCCCCGGGGACCTACGCCAGGGTCCTGTTCGTGGACTTCAGCTCTGCCTTCAACACAATCCTGCCATCCCTGCTCCAGGACAAGCTCTCCCAGCTCAACGTGCCCGATTCCACCTGCAGGTGGATCACTGACTTCCTGACGGACAGGAAGCAGCGAGTGCGTCTGGGGAAGAATGTCTCGGACCCTCGGATTATAAATACAGGAGCCCCACAGGGCTGTGTTCTTTCTCCCCTGCTCTTCTCCCTGTACACCAACCACTGCACCTCCAGCCACGACTCCGTGAAGCTGATCAAGTTCGCGGACGACACCACCCTCATTGGACTCATCTCCAACAACGATGAGTCCGCCTACAGGAGGGAGGTGGACCGGCTAGTGTCCTGGTGCAGTGGTAACAACCTGGAGCTGAACGCCCAGAAGACAGTGGAGATGATTGTGGACTTCAGGAAGAGCACTGTCCCCCCGCCCCCACCCTCCGTGATGGACTCCCCCATCACCTCTGTGGAGTCCTTCCGTTTCCTGGGCACCACCATCACCCAGGACCTCAAGTGGGAGCCGACCATCAGCTACCTCATCAAGAAGGCCCAGCAGAGGATGTACTTCCTGCGGCAGCTCAGGAAAGCCAAGCTGCCTGCACAGATGTTGGTGCAGTTCTACACGGCCATCATCGAGTCCATCCTCACCTCCTCCGTCACCGTGTGGTTCGCTGGAGCCACAGTCAGGGACAAACAGAGACTACAGCGCATTGTGCGCTCTGCAGAGGAAGTGATCGGCCGCAGCCTTCCATCGCTGCAGGACCTGTACGTCGCCCGAGCTCGAGGCCGGGCTGGTCGTATCACAGCCGACCCCTCTCACCCTGCACATGGACTATTCCAACCACTCCCCTCAGGGAGGAGACTGCGGTCCATCAGGACTAGAACCTCCCGCCACAAGAACAGTTTCTTCCCCTCTGCTGTTGGACTCTTGAACACTTCTTAACCTGTCCCCCCGCCCTTTATAAAGTCACTTTACTGCCCATCATACGTCACTTTACTTCACTGTACTGCTGTCACCTTACATTGTGTGCACCATGTGCACTTGTATATTGTAAATAGTAACTGTAACTCTATTTTAAATTTATTCTTTAGAAGTGTTTTTTATTCTTATTTTTATTATCTCTTTTTGACTGTTGCACTGAGCCAAAGCAATTTCCAAGTCTGTGACCTCCTGTTACTTACGTGGCAATAAAAATGATTCTGATTCTGATGTCCAGGAAATCAGATTTACAGCACAGATAAATCCGAGAGACCAGAGAGAGAGACCAGAGAGAGAGAGACCAGAGAGAGAGACCAGAGAGAGAGAGAGACCAGAGAGAGAGAGAGACCAGAGAGAGAGACCAGAGAGAGAGACCAGAGAGAGAGACCAGAGAGACAGACCAGAAAGAGACCAGAGAGAGAGACCAGAGAGAGAAGATGACTCACCTGGTGTGAGGGTCCAGGCGGCTCAGAGAGAATCGCAGCAGGTTCCTGATCTTACTTCCTTCTTTGACTCTGACGATCGGGACGTCTGCAGCGAGAGAGAAAGGACAGAGACACCGCTGGTCCTCAGAGCGGGACAGAGTGTAGCTCTCCATCTGCAGAGACCAGAGACCAGGCACCAGGTGAGAACCAGAGACCAGGGGACGACCAGAGACCAAGGGAGGACCAGAGACCAGTGACCAGGGGAGGACCAGAGACTAGGGGAGGACCAGGGACCAGGGGAGGACTAGAGACCAGGGACCAGGGGAGGACCAGAGACCAGGGGAGGACCAGAGACCGGGGGAGGACCAGAGACCGGAGGAGGACCAAGGACCAGGTAAGGACCAGAGACCAGGTGAGGACAAAACCACAGCACTTTACAGCCGCCCCACTGTGGAACCTGGTGTTCCCAAGGACACAACAACAACAGACATCAGTGGGAGTCGGTGGAGAAAGTCTTGTGGTGGGATCAAACCCACAACCTTCAGGCTCAAAGGCCAATGCTCTACTGTCACTGTAGACTAAAGTTACAGACCTGAGCTTTAAACATGCGTTATTTAGACTAAAGTTACAGACCTGAGCTTTAAACATGTGTTATTTAGACAAAAATTACAGACCTGAGCTTTAAATTCATCAAACAAGCTGCACGCGCCCCCAAGCTAGGAGCTAACGGCTAAGCTAAAGACTAAGCTAATGGCTAAACCTCGTCTTTTCTGGGTTATCAGAGCTGCTTTTACCGTGAGCCTCCGGGGGACAGGCGGGCTCCTCTCCCGGACAGACACGGCTCCTCCCCGGGGGTCAGTCTATGCTGTAGCCGCGGAATGAAGCTCCTAAAGCCGCGGATCAGATCAGCAGCAGGGTCTCACCGGGAGGAATCCGAAACCACACACACCTCCTTCTGCCTCCTCGTCCTTAGGACACTAGACCAGACCCGCTCC